TTATGCAGCAATAGCATATCCCTTTTATACATGTATCTCAAATTTTAATTTTAGTCCCAAAAATCGAATTAATTATGATTAAACAATGAAAAGAAAAATATGCAAAATTTAGCTAGAAACATTAATAAATTTGTTTAAATATATTTATAACTTTAACAGTATACATATTAATCCGCAAAACTCACAATATATATTGTAATATTGTATGGTATTTAAAAGTAAGCAAACAAGAATTTGGAATATGATTTTAATGGAATAAAATGGAAATAGAAATTACGAGACGAGATGGGAGGGGAACATATATTAAAAATCAATCTAAATACCCAACTGGCATGAGTTCGGGTTATGAGCACTATATAAAATAAATTTGTTTACACACGTAACACTGTACATACGTTTTCAGTTACACATACTATATTTATGACAGATATGAGACCATAATATTTTTATTTTATGTATACGTGACAGATTATGGGACAAAGAATTTATGACAGATACCGGACGGGATATTTTCATGTTCCAAAATAGTTACTCCTAGCTAATATACATGAAATAACCCAAACTAAAACCGAATTCATATCCTATTTAACATATGTAATCAAACTGTTAGAACTATTTTAATTAGTTAAGAAAATAAAAATATAACACCACTTAACTTGTGCAACTAAATTAGTCCGGATCTTAAAATATAATTATGTATTAACGCAACTGAATTTTGTTCATTACTCTAACTTTATAATATTTATACTATTACGAAGTTCACTAACACAACAAATATTTTATATTTTTAAAATCTCTATAAAATTTTCTATAAAAATATCTCTACACGTATGTGGATCCAGATCTAATACACTAAAATATATATATATCATAAAAAGTTAAAAACAACAAAATAATCTATACTGAATTAAAATTTGTTAGAAATTTTTTAAAATATGAAACCCCGCACGTATGTGCGGGTCATGATCTAGTTTTGTATTAAGCCTCATGGCAATAATTAAATAGAAACTTTTTGGTGATATATTAAATTTTAGATTGAATATGTTTCGAAAATTAGATATTGATTAAAAATTTTTAACCAGTAATAGATTAATTTTCCGTTTTCATTATTATATAAATAATCAATGAAATTGGAAACCAGAGTTCTTCTTACAATAAAAAAAAAGATGAACAAAAATAAAACAGACCAAACCGGCACAAAAACCACACAAAAAAAAAACAAAACCGGAATCGTAGAAGATTTCTAGTGATAAAAATTAATACCTTAGGCTACCATGAAGTATCCGGTAGCAACTACTCCGGTGGGCGCTCACTCGCGTTAAAAATTAAGAAAGGCGGTCACTTCTAGCCATCCATGCTCGACGACTGCAAATCTCTTGTCGCCAAGTGCGAAAAATGCCGACATCACGCCCCAACCATTCACGTGCCTACCGAGCCTTGAGCTCGTCGACACCCTCATACCCTTTCATGAGGTGGGCAATGGACGCTGTTGGACCCCTTCCCATATCTGACGGTTAAAGCATGCGCTACCCATAGGGGAACGGGCAAGCCGAGGCCACCAATAAGACAATACTCGATGGACTGAAAAAGCGCTTGGACACCGAAAAACATTTATGGACCAGTCAGCTCGAATGGATACTATGGTCTCGTCGAACGACGCCACGACAAGCTACGAACAAATCATTTTTCAGCTTAATATACGGAGTCAAAGCACTGTCACCAGCCAAGATACGAGTGCCTACTACACTTCACCGATGTTTGCGTACTCAGCGCACCCCCAATATAAATGATAGAATGATGCTCGATAACATCAACTTCCTCGAGGAACAATGTGATGAGTCGTTACTCCGAATCCAGAATTACCAACAACGCGCTACTCAGTACTACAACAAAAAGGTACATGATCGTCCCTTTTAAGAAGGTGATCTCGTATTATGCAAAGTGTTCTCTAACACCGAAAAAGATCACAAATGCATTAAGGCAGGCAAAATCAGAGCAAAATGGAAAGGTCCTTATCAAATCTCATATGTTGTGAAACTCGGTGTATATCAACTCATTACGCTTGGTGGCAAAAACATCGCTTGATCATGGAACTCGATCAATCTGAAGAAGTATTACTTCAAATTTGAAATGGGTACCGACACCCCTGATTTTTATGATTATCCGCAATCCACAATATATATATATATATATATATATATAGCTAAGTCGATGTAATGTGACCTACGAACGATTTCATCTCTTTATAGGGTACGTAGGCAACTCTTCGCGGAGTGCATCTGTACCAACAAATCAATTGATTAAATCACCAATTACTCGACTTACTTAACCATATCTTAAGCAAGCGATAATGAATCGACCAGATTAATCGATTAAAATTGTTGCTAATTGAGTTTGCTTGATCATATCCGTTAAGTCCTCTTTAACTAATTTACTTTGCCATAGTCACCGCAGACTCTTTAACACTCATTCGATCAAATCAAACGAAACATTAGACAACTGAATCCGAACTCGAAAATCTTTTTAGACTTATACTGTTTGGGCAATTGAAATCCTCTCTCACATCGGTGCCATGGCCATGTATCCAAACCATAACGTGTTCCGCATCAATGGAGTGGTGAAATAATCCATGCCCCCTCGAGATAAGCCTAGGCAACTTGCTCTTTTGGGATAAAGCGGACCCATATCCGCATTTATCTCTAGCTCGACCTGACATCGTAAGCCGGACCCAGATTCCGCATATGTGTGTACAATCTAGTAGCCCAATATGAGTAAGTCGGACCAAGATTTTGTCCCTAACTAATTAATACGTTGTATTCCCAAACAAAACAGAGCTCAAACTCTTTAAAATTTAAGCATAAGGGTTATCAAAGGTAAGCCAGGGGCATCCTACTCTTGTTGCATCCGCATATGTGTGTACAATCTAGTAGCCCAATATGAGTAAGTCGGACCAAGATTTTGTCCCTAACTAATTAATACGTTGTATTCCCAAACAAAACAGAGCTCAAACTAAAATTTAAGCATAAGGGTTATCAAAGGTAAGCCAGGGGCATCCTACTCTTGTTGCATCTGTACCAACATCGATTCTAATCTTTTGGTAGAAACAAAAGTTGAGCTACTTGCCTTTCACCGAAGAGCTGAAAACCGAGTAATATTCACAGACATAACTTACGCTTTACCGCATACACGAGGATATCACACTCCCATATGCGAAGCACAAGTAATCTCGTGGACCCTGACTCGCTAACCGTAATAGGATTCCTTACATTGTCTCAACAAATCAAAAAGAAACAATCGCAAACCATTATATACATTGATCATGCAAAAATTATGTTCGACATATCTGAATCAAAAGAAAGGCCCGAAATTGCAGACCATTACTAATAAGCCGAGTTCATTGTACTTGCAATTTAGAACCTACTCTAAATCCTTCAGGGGAAGATCAAGCCGAACTCACGTTCGCACCGAGCCAACACTTCGTCATTTAGGAAACGACCCAAATCTGACCTCAGGAAAATTTAACTATGACACAATTATCTCTAAGGTTCTAAACCATCTACGCAGTTCGTTGGTATTTGAAAAACGATGTAACCATTGTATGAAAAAAATCAAGGAAAATAGCCGATAGTTAAAAGGAAATTAATTAATTAAACCCGACGAACGAGTATTATGTTTGGGAAACAAGAAATGAAAAGCCCACATATGGGCACCAAATTTACAAAAAGGTTTTCAAACGTCACATCGACGCCTTCAGATACCACCCTTGTGATAGTATATCTTAAGATAGGTGCACAACAACTCCGACATTAGCACAGCTCGGTCCAACTCGAATCGCTCCCAGTCCCGCGGCTCCGATTCTATTATTCGCATCCCTCTTTCCAAACTTCGCATCTGCTTCACGAGCTCCGCATGACGATCATTGAGAGAACGGTGCAACGTCTTGACCTATACAATAACATGCACCGGCTTATTAGACGTGAAAATCAAATTAAGAGTAATAAGATTGAACGAACAACACTCACAGAGTCGAACCACTCAAGAATGCTCTCTGCCTCCCTCGTGGTAGAGTAGTAGGTGGCATCCATCAGAGTTTTTACCACACCAGGCTGGAAGTCACAAGGAGACGGTTCGAAAGCTAGCAACGACCTAGCAGACGACGGGTAATCCTACGGATAGACAGAACTCCTAATTTTGCAGACATGCCTAGTAGGGGCAGAATCCACCGGAGACGGAGAACCATTTCCTTTGCAGACTCGGTAAGTCCAACAAAGATCGGGTCGGAGAAGACCAGCTTGAAAGCTCTGCATCTAACTCCATGAATTTTTATGATATAAACAATTAAAAAACAGAAAAGAGATTAGTATTTGGAAGATTAAAAAACAAAAGAGAGATTATTATTTTTCTACTCGCACAACCACAAACAAATTTTTGTTTATTATTTGGAAGATTAAGAAAATCAAAGGTAGATGATTTCTCATAGTCAATTATGAAAATATCAAACAGTAATAAATTAAATTATGCATTTTTGCATATATGGATATATATTAGATACAAATCTTATCTTTACAAAAAATGACCAACCGCAAAATGACGCGTGGATGATTCAGTCAGCCAAAAAAATTTATGATTGATACATATATGATAACTTATATACACCATATAAATGCTCTATTTATGTTTGACTGTAGTATAATCTACCATAACACAATCTAGTAAATTGTTAGTATTGTCCTCGTGTCACCACCTCAATTTAAATTTTTATATTTGTCAAGTTATTTCATAGTTAGTTTCATTTTATGTTTTCAATATAAATAGTGTTTTAGAACACTGTTTATACATACAGATCTGTAAAACAAAACAAAAAAGTATACACAAAGGTAAATCTCAATTTTTCTTCATCACAAGTTGATTTTATATTTTTCTTAATGAAAATTTTTCAATATATATTCATTTAATGTTCTCAATATAAATAGTGTTTTAGAACATTGTTTATACTTATAGATCTGTAAAACAAAAAAAAGTATACACAAAGGTAAATCTCAATTTTTCTTCATCACAAATTGATTTTATATTTTTCTTAATGAAAAAATTTCAATATATATTCATTTGATGTTCTCAATATAAACAGTGTTTTAGAACACTGTTTTTGCATACAGATCTGTTAAAAAAAAGGTATGCACAAAGGTAAGTTTCAATTTTTCTTCATCAATAGTTGATTTTCTATTTTTCTTAATGAAATTTGGGTAATTTCAAATATAATCCCATGTATCCGTTACTACAAACCCTAAAAGAAACTCAAAAGCATCTAACGGTTCATATTCCTAAAAAGCCACGTGTACGTTTTAGATCACATAACCACAAGCTTTTGATATAAAAAAATGGAAAAATAAAAATGGAAGTGCCTATTGGCTTACAAGTATCAAGTCGTCTTTTTATTCAAGTTTCGCGGCAACGCCTCTCTCCTTCTCTCTCTTTCTCTAATTCATCTAAAATCCTTTTTTATCTCTCTCTCTCGCTCTCTCTTTTAAAACCTCTTTCGAAAAATTTGTCACCGATCTCGAACAAGGTTTTTGAGCTTTCTCTTCTCCGAGTCGGTTTCTGTGTGGTTCTTCATCGATTCTTATTGAGCTGCGTGATTGGTGAGTAGATCTGTTGATTTGATTTAGGGTTTTTAAAGGTTTTAACACAACTAATTGGGATTTTTGTTGAACTTCACTTTATATGGAGATTCTTATTGGGAAAATTTGGTTTTGGGATTTGTGGATTCTGGTTCGGCGATGAGATTTTTGATTTTCGAAGTTCTTTCAAAAAGGAAAATTTTGAAATTTGGATTCGAACTTTGTGGTTGATTTTGGGTTTTGTTGAAATGAGTATTAGTATTTTCACTATTTTGAATCTGGGTCTTTTTTTGAATTCGAAAGTTGATGATTCCGATTCGTGATTTTTGTTTTCTTTATTGATACTGCGAGTTTTTTAGAGATTTGTAAGTAAAGTTGTTGAATTTCTGATTCATAATCGTTTTCTGGTGAAAATTGAATCTGAGATTTTGTGAAGAGAGTTAGATTTTCTTTAATCAAATTTAATGTCGTATCTTTGGTCAGATCAGTTTCCTTAATTTGTAAATTATTTAATCTTTTCGTTGGAATTTCTGGGCAGAGAAATCAGTTTATGGCGCCTAGTAGGAAGTCGAAGAGTGTGAACAAACGCTTCACTAATGAAGCTTCTCCAGATATCAATGGTGGGAGTGCAAGCAAAACCAAGCATCGAGTGAGTTTGTTCTTCATTGACCAAATCTTATTTGGGATAATCACTCTTCTAGGTGTTCTTTTTGCATCTCTGACTGCGGTTTTTTTCTCATTGTAGAAGAAGAAATTGGCTGACAAGCTAGGACCTCAGTGGACCAAAGGAGAGCTTGCGCGTTTCTATGACGCTTACCGGAAGAATGTGGGAGACTGGAAAAAGGTAAACTTTGTTGCACGATTATGGTTTTATGTAAGTATTTTTTGAATCTTTGTATGAGTTGAAAGTCTTAAGACTAGTTCTTCTTTGGAAATTGCTTAGGTAGCTGCTGCAGTGCGGAATAACAGGTCTGTTGAGATGGTGGAAGCTCTTTTTTCTATGAATCGGGTATGAGTAAAAGAATATTTCACTGTTCAGTTTTGTTTTAGTATTGAGATGGATATAACTTGCCTAGGCTTCATTCTAAACTTAGAACTAGATTATGTTAAACATGAATACCTGTTCATTCATATGATTTGCCTTTTCTTCCAGGCATACTTATCCCTGCCTGAGGGAACTGCGTCTGTAGCTGGCCTCATTGCGATGATGACTGATCATTACAGCGTCATGGTGAGTTGTTTATTTTATTACTGCTGGAACACCCTTAGATGTTAGATGACTTCTTGTATGAAAATTCAGGTGGAAAGCTGAGGAGTTATTAATGTTGATACCCAGTATAGTCGATTAAATTAGTGGAATTTTAGTTTTATACTTTTCGTGAGAACAAGGGAGAGATGTGTTTAATTGGTTGGTTCAGATTGTCTGTTTAGTAAAGTTGTGTGGTTCAGTTTCTACATGCTTATGGTAATTTTTGTAGGAGGGGAGCGAAAGCGAAGTAGAAGACCATGATGCTTCTGAAGTACTGAGGAAACATCTCAAGCGCAAACGTCCTCAAGTTCAGCCTAATGATTTTCGAGAAGAAGTTATTCCACCACATTCAGTTGCATCAGTAGAAGGATGCCTCTCATTATTGAAGCAGACACAAGCTTATGGTACACTCATTATTTCCTGCAAATCATTTTCTTAAAATTTATGGTTTGAAAGATGCTAACCAAGGATTACTCTGTGGTTTATATTGGTGAGCAAATGAACAACAAGCTGCCTTTTATCTTACATTTTTAGTTCACACCATTTATAGTGTAACCATGTCTCGCGGAATTCTGTGTCAGCCTAACAAAATTATGTAAATGAATATGTTCAAGATCGTGTAATTTGCTACTTTATTTTATGTAGAAAAAAGGCGACGTGCCACTGGGAAACGTACACCTCGGTTTCTTGTAGCAATTACACACGAGAGGGATGATAGAGCAGATTCTAGTCCACCAAATAAAAGAGCCAAGAAGCAACTTGATGCCGATGATGATGCATCAAGAAGGGGAGGAGGGTCTCCATATAGAAGAACAGAACTCAGTGACAGCACACAAACTAGGCTTCGAAAAATGGTATTTTGATAGCTCTAGCAATTTAAGGTTATTATCATTTCTTTTCATTGTTGTCATGATTGATTCAGTGGAAAAACAATTTCTACTTTTTTTTTGCTTTTGCCAGTTACAAGCACAGGAAGCTCAATTCAAGCACCCTGATGGTTCCATGTTTGAGAATGGGGTGAGAACAAGCCGAGATAGGAGGCATAAAAAGGGAGCTGCTGATAGAGATGGTGCCTTGTTGAGGGATATGGAAGGACTTGTTACCAAGAAGGGAAAAAATGTGAGAATTGAAGAAGCAGAAGGAAATGATTCTGATGATGATGATGATGGATTAGGAGCTCTGAAGGCATTGGCTGAAATGTCAGCTTCACTGGCTCCGGCTGCTTTGATGGAATCAGGTTAGCATCGAATGGTTTTATATTCTGGGGTTGTGCCACTAAGGATGTATATATTGCGGGTTAAAAGAAGAGACCCATTAATAAATATCTGTTCACCTTTCACATCCATCAAGGTACATCTCTTTATATTTTCTATTTTATTGTGTTGGATCCAGAATTATCTCCACTGTGGGAAGAAGAAAGAATAGCTAACAACGTGGATGAGAAATCTAACACTCTGGAAACCGTGTCCACAAGCCATCACAGAGAAAAAGCAAAAGAAGCAGGACCAGAAGCTAGTCTCCTACTCGCAATTTCAGCCCCCGATAAAAGAAAACCGAAGTCTGTGCCGGAAGCCGTTGATGGTAATGTTGTTTCAGTCGAGGAGCTTGGCACTTCAAGAAGAAAACGTAAACCAAAGGTTTGGTTTACAAGACAGTTTTTCTCTTTGATTTCTTTGTTATCTTGTCGTTCCTCTGTGCACCACTTAGCTATATGCAAATTACATTCAGTTTCAGGTGCTAGATGTTGAAGCTCCAAAAGAGTCTATTCAGGAAAAATTTCTATATACTAAGGTATTTTTCAAATATATAGATATGCAAAACCCGCTTCTCTCCTATTTGCTTATTTCTTTTGGCTTGGATTTAATCGTACTCTGTGATCTGCGGTTGAATCCTTGACAAATTCTTTCGATCAAAGAAGCTTATGCTTTAGTAATTTTTGTTAGTGCTTTCTCTCATGATTTTTTTTACTGCATTGCAGGAATCGGCTGAAGATGATAATTTGAAGACTCTAGTCAAAGCAAGACGTTCTGGTCAAGGTCCCGCAAAACAGCTGAAAACTGCAAAGACCTCGGAAGAATCTTCTTTAGCTAGTGATAAGAAATTAACAATACCGGATGCAGTAGTGCCAGCTACACAAGTTTCAGCTTTGGTTCCAGCGACTTTGCCACAGAAACCTCCAAACAGGCGTAAGATGAGTTTGAAGAAAAGTTTACAGGAAAGAGCTAAATCTTTAGAAACCACTCATGACAAGCTACGTAGTCGCAAAAGTCTTTCAGAACATGAATTACTAAAGGTAGAGTCTCTAACTTCATTTTTGTTATACAAATCCAAAAAATCTGGTCTCTTATTTGCTTATTCCATTTACAGGAGAAGTTTTCAAATTGTCTGTCATATCCATTGGTACGTCGATGGTGCATATATGAATGGTTCTACAGTGCTATTGACTATCCCTGGTTTGCAAAGATGGAGTTCACTGATTATCTAAATCACGTGGGGCTTGGTCACGCTCCAAGACTTACTCGTGTTGAATGGAGTGTCATTAAAAGGTTTGTTAAAGTTCCTGTGTATGTCGATGGAAATATAAAGATTCGAAAAGGTTACTCAAATTCTGTAATTTTTCAGTTCTCTCGGTAGACCTCGGAGATTGTCTGAGAGGTTCCTACATGATGAGCGGGATAAACTCCAACAATATCGTGAATCTGTGAGAAAGCATTATACAGAGCTCCGTGGATGTGCTACGGGAGTGCTTCATACAGATTTGGCCCGTCCTTTATCAGTCGGGAATAGAGTCATTGCCATCCATCCTAAAACACGAGAAATTCGTGATGGCAAGATTCTTACTGTGGATCATAACAAGTGCAACGTTCTGTTTGATGAATTGGGTGTTGAGTTAGTTATGGTAAATCCCAAACTATACAAATTCCGTTGAAACGCTTAACTCCTTTGTGATTTGTAGATAGTTTGTCCACTTATTGTATATCTCAGATGATGTAATAAATCCCTTTTTTGACAGGATATTGACTGCATGCCTTTAAATCCATTGGAATACATGCCAGAGGGACTAAGGAGGCAAATTGATAAGTGTGTAGCTATAGGCAAAGAAGCACAGCTTAACAGACACCCAATCTCTGATGCATCTCTTCTGTTCTCTCCTTCTGTGCTCGAAAATGTCAAATTTTCCATGAATCCTCCTGCGAAACAGGTAAACAAAGATGGACGACTGACTCGTGTGTCAAAGCTTTGATCTTCGTCTTTCTTTCTGTACATATTTGGTAAACTCTGTGCATAATTCCATAATTCTCTGCAGGATGATATCAGAGAGCCAGTTTTGCATAGTAAAGTGTTAGCAACCAACACTACTGATCAATCTATCGCAACCAATAGCAAAGTAAGAGGACCAGAAATTCAATGGACTCTGACACCGCAGCATACTTCAGATGCGCAGGTAGTGAATCTGTATGCCTTAGTTATGCGTATAGTAGGTAACTAAAATAAGCTTAAGTTAATGAAACTACTATGCCTGAGGAAACTGTCTTCAGATTGCTCATGTTCAAAGTATAGACTTAGTTTGTGTACTTTTTTTTTGCCGAATAATATCTGGATTGCTAATAGTAACAGCTACAGGAATTCTCCTGTCATAATTCTGCTTTCCAGGAAATGGAGCCAGAAATGATTGAAATTGCCAGTGAATCAAAGTCAATAGCGCAAGCAATGGTGGATGCAGCTATGAAGGTAGTTATAATATGTCTAGAGACTTCAGAGTCTTCTAAATACAGAGAAGCCAAAGTCATACAACTCTAATATCTCTTGGTTTAAATTGTTGTCAATGTATGGTTTTAGGCTGTATCGTCGGGGAAGAACAATGAAGACTCAGGGAATATGGTCCACCAAGCTAGCTCAATTGGCGAACATCAGCCATTATACAGCTCTATAGTGCCTGGTATCAAGCATCAAGAGCATACCAATGGCAGCTTGGATCATCATCCTTCAAACACAGCAGAGCCAATGACTAACGGTTTCATCTCACAGGACGGATCAGGGAAAAACAAAACGCAAATGCCTTCAGAGCTTATCACCTCTTGTGTTGCCTCTTGGCTCATGATGCAGGTAAAGGAAATATTTTCTTGGATTAACGAAAGTCTAATCTAAATCAAGAATAACAAAGTTATCGCTTGACTGAGATCGAAATTACCTGCGGTTGCGGTTTTGATTTGAACTCTTACTGTGTTATGTACCTGCAGATGATCTCACAGAAGCAGTACCCACCAGAAGATGTGGCTCAGCTAATGGATACAGCAGTGAGTGACTTGCAGCCACGGTGTCCACAGAACATGCCGATATACAGAGAAATTCAGACTTATATGGGACTGATCAAGACTCAAATCATGGCTCTTGTAAGAACATGAAACATTTGTGTCCTTTATAATTAACCTGATATCGAAGATTAAAACCTGGATATCAGATTTAATTGTTTGAATTGTAGAGGTTAGTTTAGTTTATAGTTAGTTAATAATTTGAACAGCTTCAAAGGCTCTTGATAGTTAGTTACCATTGATTCTGTAACTTTGGAGCTGTTTTTTTATAATAATATTCTTTCTCGGTTTCGAAAAATCGTTGAAGTGATTCTTTTCTTGGGTCATTATTCCCAACATATATAGACTTAAAAAAATCTCAAATATTCACTATTCCTTAAGTAGAACAATGCCAATTGGAACTTACACAGAAATTAAATATGTTTGAGACTTGAGGGACCTTTATTAACAATTTCATTCTAATTTTTGATGTTACAAAGGACTAAAAGTAGGCCTGGGCATAATAAAATCCAAAACCCGAAAACTTGAAAACCCGGACAACCCGTAAACCCATGTTCGATTTGGTTTCGGGTAGCCAATATTACCCGAACGGATCCTAAATTAATTTTTTCAGGTAGGATCCGAAACCTACTCAAAAAATCTGAAACCTGAACGAATACCCATAACCATAAATAATACATACACATGATTTCTTTGGAGGTTTTCGGGTGATACAAGTTTTTCCGTATAGTTCGGATCCAAAACACCAAACCTAATCATAATTCAGTTTTATGTCGGGTTTCAATGAAATTTTAAAACCGACCCAAACCCGAATATACCTGATGCAAACCAAAAACGTTTTGGTTCTTAAACGAATCTTAAACCTCTCGACCCAAACCGACCCGTAAAGCAGAATGTTCAAGTCTAACTAAAAACCGTGAGTCAAACTTTGAAAATCATTGATTAATTTTATTTAGATTCTATAATGAGGAATACATAAACCCTAAAAATTGGACATATGTAAGGATGTTAATAAGGGTTGGAAACATAACTTTAAGCCCTAGCACTGTTTTTTGTTGTTTAAAAATTCCTGTTTTTTTTGTTTTAACGGTTGACTAAACGACATCGTTTAAAATAATTATGTTTGCTAAACGACACCGTTTGACCATAGGGTTTTATTGTTAAACATGAAAGAACGTCGTTTCACCAATGTTTCTTCTTCCTCGCAAATCTCAAAGCAAGGAACGATCTCGCTGTACGAGCAAGTTCCGACATTAACACTGTGTTTCTCCGCCGTGCTCTCCTCTTTTTCCCTCGTACTCGTGTTCACATCTGAATTCCGACAAGATATTGAGTCTGCTCTCCTCTTCTCCGTCATTCTCGTCTTCTCATCACCAAACCTCTTCTTCTCGTAGATAACTCAATCCAATCTCCATTCGAATCGACTCTGCAAAACCTGGTGCTTTTAGATTCTTCTCCTAAATTCTAACATAAGCCCTAAAAATCAAATTTTTAAAATATCTGCGAATCCTCTCTATAATTCAACCACCGAAATTCTCCATCCGATTCAGACGGATAATCGCCATCAACAGCGTGTGAATTTGATCGACCAAAATTTGATTTTTCGATTTCGAAATTTGATTTTGGGACTGAGTAAATGGCGGATTTTCAGACATCAACACAACGGGCCAAGTGGATTTTCACTCCCCAGAAACTGGTAATCTCAATCTCATCTCCTTCTGATTCACTCTTTTGTTTTCTTTTGGTTTGAAAATGCAAAGCAACTGCGATATCATTTGCTCTAAATCAGTTTCGGAGGCTTTATAAATTTTAGATTTTGTTCATTTTTTAGGAATTTCTTTGCTTTGATTGCATCATACAGATTACCTTAGTGTGTGTATCTGAGTTTGTATTTTAGAAAGGTATATACTTTGATGGGCTTCTTTGGTTTTCGTCTTGTATGACGCAAGAGACTCGGATTAAGTGAGCATTTCGAACTCTTTGTTGCTTAATTATGTGTGTTATTGTTATTATCTTACTTGTTGTGTAGAGATATTGCTATTGCAACTAAGCTGTAATGTTGTAATCGTAGGCAGACAGATATAAAGCTGCTAACAAGAGGGCAGTGCAAATGCTGGAGAAGGTGTGCTAAGAGTGTGCTGATATTCAACTTTAGTCTCTATTCATGATAGATTTTTAACTTATTCTCATTCATAGTGTGGAACAACCCAAGTTGAAGTAGATGCCAGTGGATCACTAACATATCCTAAAGATAAAGTTGATGCAGCAGATCCAGGTTAACTTTTTATTATTGGTTCGTTTCATACGTATCATTATAGTTTTGTTTGTCCAAGTTTAAATAATGTTACTTTTTGCTGTGTTACTCTCAGCTGATAAGAAGCTTAAGCCTTTGAGTGTTGATGAAGAACGGTTCATGAGAGCATTTTATGAGGCTAAGGTCCAAGAAGTGTGTAGTGCCTTTGCATTTCCTCACAAGATTCAGGTGCATTTCTCCTCGTTGAGATAGAAGTTTATGATTTAGTTAAAAATAAAATACCTGATTTTGTTAGCTCTCTGAATTCATGTTTTTCCTTCTAATCTTTTGCAGGCGACAGCCCTCCAATACTTTAAGAGATTTTATCTGCAATGGTCTGTTATGCAACATCATCCAAAAGAGATCATGTATAGTTCTTCTAAATCCTCAAAATGGTCAAAAGCTTTGCTTTTTCATAAGATATTAGTTTTGAAATTGTTTATCAAATTGACCTAAGAATTTTGTATTTCTGAGAGGCCTTTTAAGGCAGTCAAAATGGTCCGTTGTTGTAATTTGGACTAATTGTTACCTTTCATTGAACAGGTTAACCTGTGTGTATGCAGCTTGTAAAATAGAGGAGAATCATGTATCTGCTGAGGAAATTGGGAAAGGGATTAACCAAGATCACCAGATCATTCTCAAGTATGAGATGGCTGTTCTTCAGGTATCATATGAGTCAATTAATTTGTAGCAACTTCCGTATGTTTATTTATCCCCGGTGTTCTTTTCTCTCTCTATTCTTTTGTTCATATTATATTAACTTTATGTGCAGAGTTTGGAATTTGATCTGATTGTTTATGCACCGTATCGTGCAATTGAAGGTTTTGTCAACAATATGGAGGTAAATCTGGCCTGTCTAGTATTTTGTAGGTTTTCTTATGTCATCACGAGACTCTGATTGAGTTGATAGGAAATCATTTTGTTGCAAGAAAAAATCTGAATGTTATCTTCGAGGGAAGAAGTTGGTGTGTGTAATTTTTCATTCTTGTTCAACTTCATGCTTTCTCTAAAAGTGACATCATCTTATCATCTTCTAGGAATTTCTTCAAGCTAGAGATGATCAAATCCAGAAACTGGAGGTAATCTCTCTTCATATATTTCCCTTCAACTATTACAAAGTTTTTAAACATGCGGTAACTGAATTTGGGATCATAACTGCAAGTCGTTTTACTTAACGGGCCTTATTGAAGTATTGTTTTCTCATACTGGCATAACATTTCAAGTATTCTGCAGAGTTTACTCAAAGCGGCGACAGCAGAAGCCGATAAAGTTATGCTCACAGATGCTCCACTCCTCTTTCCTCCTGGCCAGGTGGCATGATAGTTTCTTTTGTCTCCCTAGCTTCTTATTATCAGATTAAAGATGCTGAATAAAATTAAAGAATCTGGTTAAACTTATTGTTTGGGATATTTCAGTAAAGCTTCAAATATGCTACTCAAGATATAAATCTAGGACGAAAGTTGGTGCTTGTTTTCTCTTTGACAGATATATAGGTGAAATCAATGAATGTTTATGATATAGTAGTTTAGCGTATCGATATATACTCACCATGTTCTTTCAGGATATTTCTTTTTTCTTTACCGTATATGTAACAGAAGAAGTATCACAAAGTGTTGTTTTGTTTCTCAATTGTTAGACGTGTGCCCTTGCAGTTGGCATTGGCGTCTTTACGTCTTGCAAATGGGGTTCTTGGAGTGATTGACTTTGATAGGTTATTTCTCTTCTTCTATATCCATCCGGTCCCGATATTACCCTTTTTATCTTTCCATGATATTTAATTCTTGGCCTCGAATTTCTGTATATGCAAGCTTTTACTGGTTGTATTTTCAACTAAACTGCATTTGGTGTAGGTACCTAGAGAACATTGTTTCTCAACCAAACTCTGAGCACACAACTTCAGAGCTCACAAAGTTCCTTGATGACATCGAATTTTTGGTATTATGCACTAACTTTCATATTTTCTCATGACAATGAAACTTTCATATCTAAAAGGCAGTTTTACTAGATGCTCTCTCTTTTTGCAGGTAAAGAACTACAAGAAACCAAGTGAAAAGGACATGAAGCATATCAACCGGAAGCTAAAATCTTGTCTAGGACATAGTTCTTCACATGACGAGTACATTAACCTCTCTTCTATTAATTCTTCTAACCACTATATATATATTTCATAAGTTTTGCTTCTTCAATTGACTCCCTTCTCTATTTCTTTCCCTCAGGAGTAAGAAACGGGAGAAGAGATCGAAGCACAAGTCCCATAGGAGCTCCAATGATACACCAAACGGGGCACCGATAGGTTGAGTTTCTTGTTCTGCCATTAGCAATTCTTCCTTGGCACTTTGGTTAGTTTTAATCTTATTGAATGAGAAAATCCTCTTTATAGTTTTTTTTTCCTGTTGTTGTTCTTACTAGTAAGTTTGAGCAGATTTATGTTAACAATATTGGCCATAAGTTTGTTTATTCCGAAGATGTCAATGAACCTATAACAAAACTACCATTTAATTTAAGTTTCGGTGTACACAACAATCTTCCAGAATGGTTTGTTTTGCATCAAAAGTTTTTCCAAAATTTTGATAGTTACTACCACGATCTGTTCTGAAACGGCCATGTTCTTTTTCCAAACGTTGTGATTAGATCCAGCGACCAAAAAAAAACAGTTGCTTAACACAATTACGTGGAGTCTGTAGAGAGTAGTGTGGAGAGGAGTCGCTAGATGCTAATAACAGCGACATAAGGCATATTGAACGACTGTTTTTTTATCTCCGTTATATTTTTTGCCTTCGTCGGAGTCGCTATCGCTGTCGCAGTGATTAATAAACGAACATGCCCACAGAGACAATTGTAATTAAACTAGTGTAGCGGACACTACGATAAACACGAGGAGGAACTCGTTTAGTCTTCGAAATCGGAGAATCCAAGTCCTCTCGAGTTCTACCCGTAACAAGGAAATCAAGAGAAACTCTCATTTTCTTTATTAAATCATCAAAAACCATCGTAAATGGAGTTTGACTGTGATTTGTGAATGAAACTTGTGATTTTTGAAGATATAATTTATCAGTCAAAAAATAACAAATGTTTCTCAGCTAATTAGTATTGTCTTTGTACATAATAACTCTTACAATTTATTGGTGTTGACTTGTGAAGTTTGTGCCAAAAACATTTAAAATTGGATTTTGGAATTTGTTGCATGCAAATAGAAACTTGTCATGCCGCTATATAAACGCTGCATCAAGTTTTCGTAATTTAATTAAACTAAATTAGTATTAATCCGAAAACTTGAAATTGTTGCTTCCTTCCTCCTTTGGCTTCTTCCTCAATTCTCCGATCAAAATGGCTCACATGGTGAGAGCGAGCTCTGGCCTTGCTTACCCGGAGAGATTCTACGCCGCCGCATCGTACGTTGGCCTCGACGGATCTCAATCGTCGGTGAAACAACTCAGCTCCAAATTCTCCAACGACACCTCTTTGCTTCTCTACGCGTTGCACCAGCAGGTCCGTCAATTGAATTCCACAGAGATCTCGTGTGATTTAAACATGTTGCTTTCTCTACTTTCGCAATTTGCTACAATATATATGAATGTTGGTACTAATCTCTGTAGATTCCACATTATCTTCATTGCTATGAACCTCAGAGTCATGATATTGTTGGTTCTTCTTAGTCAAGATGAGAATTGTGGTAGGCTATTTCATGATGATGATAACTGGTTTCTTTTGTCACAGAGAGAGAATTTTCGTTTTTACCAAATTGATTTGCTGAGTTGATTTATTCATCATCCTTGAGATAAAGATGCTTACTATTTTGATTTTTTTTCCCTTGAAATGTTAACAGGCTACTCAAGGACCTTGTAGTATTCCAAAACCTAGTGCGTGGAATCCAGTAGAGCAAAGCAAATGGAAAAGGTTAGTTTCACTTTTGTGTCTATCAATAATAACTCTGCTATTCTGCATTTGGAGTGGCTTTCTTAAGTTTCATCAATTGTTTAAGTAGCTTCTGAGTACAAGTATCAAGAGGTCTCATATATGAGGGTTACATTAACAAGTATTGTAGATGTAAGATGTAAATTGCGGGTGACATGGGGAAACTCATCTTAGAGAATACCATTATGCAAAGAGAGATCTACATTGCAGACCTCATTTCCTTAGGATATTATCTATGAACAATGAGCATATAACGTTGTCCTTGTGAACTTCCTAAGAAAAGTACATGTTTACTAGTTGGCAGGGGCTTGGAACCATGCCCTCCATTGAAGCAATGCGTCTCTTTGTGAAAATTTTAGAGGTAATCAACAGAGGAGTTTATTCTCATTTCTCTTAATTTATTGATCATAGGCTAACTTCTCCCTATTGCTCACGTTTAAAAAGCAAGAAGATCCTGGTTGGTATCCAAGGGCATCTAACTCTGTTCTAGAGCCTGCTGTAGATGTCCAAATCAATGTGAGTTTTGGATCCCAAATTAAGCACTTTCATCACCTATACATAGGATCCAGTGTGTGTATGTATTGCTACCAAAATATCAATGCCTCGTCTGAACTGTTTGATCCTTGTATATACCAGCATTCTATGTCTCGGTTTAGACTTTTCTTTCCTGTTGCAAAAGATAAGTCTCGTAGTCATTTACTAAATTGATTCTCTGTCGTAGAGCACAAAGGCCGAGCCTAGTTTTGAGAGTGGAGCTTCATTTGGTGAGACAAAGTCGATTTCTACCGAGGATGAGCGCTTGACGGTAACGCAAGATAAAGATGTAGTTTTGGAAGACCCAAATACTGTTTCTGTGTATAATAAGTGGACTGCACCACGAACACCAGGTCAGCCACCAAAAGCTCGGTATGAGGTAATATTTGATTTCACTATATTGTGGAACATGAAAGAAACCGATATTTCCGTGTATCTTCTCTCTTTTTTAATTCTTTCTTACTATATTCGTTGCAGCATGGAGCAGCGGTTATTCAAGATAAGATGTATGTGTATGGTGGAAACCACAATGGGCGTTATTTAGGTGATCTTCATGTAAGCAACATATCTCATTCTATGATAGGATTAACTGATCAAATCGAATATTTGGTTTCAGTTTTGCCTACCTTCGAGAACCTTCTCCTATTATTTACTGTGACACGTCTGCTGACAATTCGGAAGCATGTCTTCTGTGAATGGTGTTTCAAATACAGGTTCTAGATTTAAAAAACTGGACTTGGTCAAGAGTTGAAACCAAGGTTGTGACTGAATCACAGGAAACTTCATCTCCAGCAAAACTAACTCACTCTGCTGGTCATTCTTTGGTTAGTATTTTAACTTGCGTTTTGTTTCGGTTTTTCCTTCTTTGGTATTCTAGCCTTGAAATATCATGGGCAGGTTTGGGGGCAAAGTACAGTAATCTCCTCATGAATTCCTCATGCTGGCCTTCTTTGTTTGTTATGTAGATACCATGGGAAAGCAAGCTTTTGTCTGTCGGTGGTCATACAAAGGATCCCTCAGAATTCATGATAGGTAAGAGTAAAAACACTTTTGAAATTGTTAATTGGAGGTAAGTTATTATTTTCTGGAGCATAGCAATTCTTGTATATCAGTTTTCTTTTGTTTTCTCATCACAGTGAAGGAATTTGATCTGCTTAGCTGTTCATGGTCAATCTTAAAGACACACGGGAAGCCACCAGTAAAATCTTCTTTTCTCCCAATTTTTCTAATCCTTATATGGGAAATATTCCAATCTAGTAGTAAAAACTTTTGAACATCTGGAAGAAAAAAATGAAAAGTTACTCTGTTTGTCCTTCGTCATATATTCAGGTGTTTAAGTTGCATTCTGAATGCAATTTCTTGATCTCCTTTCTGATATTGGAAATTGAGCATGTAGTATAGCTGCTTAAATTGATACAACTTTTATCACTCTCTCTTCCGTGCAGATTTCGCGTGGAGGTCAGTCAGCGACCCTTGTGGGAAAAAGCTTGGTGATATTTGGTGGCCAGGATAGAAAGAAATCGCTCCTAAACGATTTGCATATACTTCATCTAGATACCATGACCTGGGATGAGATAGATGTCGTGTAAGATCTTATGACGTTACTGCATTTTATTCTCACTTTTGAATAACTCAGGTCTGTTTGAAGACTAGATTATAAATCCAGAAAATGATGAAATTTTATAAAGCTGCCAACTATCTAGATTCATATCTTAGTTGTCAATGAATGATCAGCGGTTGAAGGTTTAAGTGCTGTCAACTTGCAGGGGTTCTCCTCCAACTCCAAGGTCTGACCATGCTGCAACAGTGCACGCTGAGCGTTACCTTCTAATCTTTGGTGGAGGATCACATACAACTTGTTTTGATGATCTGCATGTTCTCGATCTGCAAACTGTATGCAAGCTTCTTTTGTTTTAGCAACGTTCTTTGTCGGTTTCTTGACAGATTCTGTTCCACTGTATAGATGGAGTGGTCAAGACATATAACACAACAAGGTGAAGCACCAACTCCACGTGCTGGACACGCTGGTGTGACAATTGGGGAAAATTGGTATATTGTTGGTGGTGGAGATAACAAAAGCGGTATGTTTCTAATCTTCCCTGCGTTTTGATCCCTGCATCTGTTGCTCTTTATGTTACAGCACTGGAACTATTCCTGGGGAAAAAACTTGATAGTTGCTTCGTTTTTTGTTTTGTACAGTGTGATTAATTGTGATACTTCCTGGTACTTTACCGCAGGGGCATCTAAGACTGTTGTTTTAAATATGTCAACTCTTGCGTGGTCAGTAGTCACTTCAGTCCAAGGACATGTGCCTCTCGCTAGTGAGGTATTTAAAACACTGCCCCATCTTATTTTTTGCATAAAAGTCTCCAGCTCAGATTTCCTGATACATGAAACGAATAAATCAGTCTTGTGATTTTCCTCTTCAATATTTGAGAATTGAGCTGCAACTGTTCCTTTGATGACAGGGATTGAGTTTAGTTGTGAGCTCATACAATGGCGAAGACATAGTTGTTGCTTTTGGTGGATACAACGGACATTACAACAACGAAGTACCAATAAATACGATTTTTCCTGATTTGGTTTAAAACTTGGCTATTAATTCTGCTTTTTGGCGAATCAGGTGAATGTTCTTAAACCAAGCCACAAATCAAGCTTGAAATCCAAGATTATGAGAGCTTCTGCTGTGCCAGATAGTTTTTTCCGCTGTTAATAACGCCACGACTAGAGATATTGAGTCTGAGATCGAGGTGAGCCAAGAAGGCAAAGTAAGGGAAATTGTCATGGATAATGTTAACTCCAGATTAAAGGTGTTTTCCCGTCTGATTTTTCTCTCCCTAAACACTGTGAATATCAAATTAGACTAGATAATCACAATGCATCTCTTATTTTTCCCCTTTGTAATCTGGATACTAAATCCTCAGGTTGAAGGAAAAGCCGAACGCATTATCACAACCCTTAAATCCGAAAAAGAAGAAGTGGAGGCATCACTCAACAAGGAAAAGATACAAACTCTCCAACTAAAGGAAGAGTTAGCAGAGATTGACACACGAAATACAGAGTTGTACAAGGTAACAGTACTATTACCTTCATGAATCTCTCTTGCCTTTGATCCGGCTTTTACCAGAACTAAAAGCTAACAGAGCACAATCATGTAGTTGGTTTTCTGAAAATTGGTTCTTATTCAGTCTTGAAATTTAGTTGATAATTTCTTGGAGATTCTGTTGTTGATCAACATTTTTGGTATTCCATCTATAGGAACTTCAGTCTGTGCGGAATCAACTTGCAGCGGAACAATCAAGGTGTTTCAAACTAGAGGTATTTAGACCTTTTACCAAGAAATTCACTTTTCATTCCCTTTTATAGGCGCTATCGTAAGTTCCGGGTTGATATTTGAATCTCAATAGTGAAACATTCCGCTCCGATGTTGACCAAATCCTAACAAAAATCATTTTAAGTGCCTGCAGGTTGAAGTTGCAGAACTAAGACAAAAGCTTCAGACAATGGAAACACTTCAAGAGGAACTTGAACTCCTCCAACGTCAAAGAGCCGTTGCGTCTGAACAAGCCGCCACCATGAACGCCAAACGACAGAGCTCTGGTGGCGTCTGGGGTTGGCTCGCTGGAACTCCTCCGCCTAAAACATGATTCCCCCATGAATTTTTTTGTTTCCGGTACCTCTTTTTTTTGTCATTACCAATATCAGTATTTTCAAAAAAGAATATAGACAAACTTTTTGTGTCTCCTTTCTTAGGCATGGTCCTTATCGAAAATAAGGTTTAAATAGGTATTTCTCTACTACATTGAGCATCATTATTACCATTGTACATTCAGATTCTATATATGCCCTTACGATTTGTGTGTAGTTATGATGCTGTTAGAGGAGAGATGTGAACAGTGAACTCATTACAAGCTGCATATATTGTATTGGTAATTTTTATACCATTTAATACCGTTACATGTGATTACCACTATATAAACTACTACTGCCTTTTTAACTTCTACAACTTGGTAAAAACAGACATTTAATTAAGAAAGCTTAATAATGACAACAGAAACAATATCCAAGGAACCAAAAATTCTCTTCGAAGTTTAGAGAACGCTATTTCAAAATGTCTAGGAGATTGAAGAACTCAAAGAGGGCAACAAAAGAGACATGGTATCTTACATCGACTCCTGAACGATTTCCTCAGTGACATCAATAAGATCCTCAAACTCAACTTCTTTGGCTTCATACTCATCTTCTTCCACATCACTAACTTCACCATCCCGAAGATTTTGCCTTGCGAGTTTCTCCTCTTCATGCAGAGACTTCCATTGCATCACCCATTTCTCCCATTCTTCCTTCAATGCCTTCCTCTTCTCTCTGTCTTGTTCACTCAACAGCAACGACACGTCCTGATCCTCTGCCTCATACTTCTTGCTGTACTTCTTCAGGTTCTTTGCTATCTCTTCTTCCTTCTCTGCAGTCAAGAATGATGGCGGTCTTGGACGCCAAGCCAACTGTGTAACCAACGATACACAAATATTTTATTAGACATTGATAAATGGATGATGCTAGTTTGAGACCGAGTTTTTCGTTACATACCTGGAAGAAATGATCCTTCAGTATCCGGTAAATCTCAATCCCGTTGAAAGACCATATGGTGAACCCATTCTCCATCTCGTGGACTGATGTCACCGCGGTTGCAACGTACCTTTGAAAATAGAAAAGTGCAAACAACATCAGCAATTGGAACAAAGAGAAACAACCAATGGCCTGGTTTAGTTTTAAGACAGTAGTACCTTCCAGTCGGGTCCCATTCGATATCAGTGGCCATGAAGTGTTCAGCTGTGGCCATTGTCTCGAGCTCATCCACGTTGAAAAACTCAAGCTGGCCATTGAAACCTTTTAACCCAGCAAGAATTATGTACTTGCCTGTGGGCGACCAGAAGAGGGCATTAGCTTGTTTGGCCTTCAAAGTTGCGAGCTTTGAAACCCTTCCAGTGTTTTGTGCGGTCTTCATTGAGTAGAAACTGACGTCTGGTCTTGGTTGGTCACCATGAATCACAGCAAACCTGTGACCCTTGGGCTCCCACGCGAAAGCAATGATCTTGTCGTTCTTGTTGTCCAGCTCAAGAACCTCGATGGGAATATCCCTTTCTTTGATACGGAAAAGCTCAAATCCAGAGTATGTGCTCTTCTTAGTTTTCGTGTACCGATCAACCTTGACAGCAAGATACTCTCCACTACTCTGCCAGTACATCTTGCAGTCGCTCACACTGAAGAGATTCTTCTGCCTCAGCTCCACCTTGCTCGGGATTTGGACTAGAGCGACCTGAAGACAGGGATATCAACATGTAAATACAAAACAACTGGCAGAGAAACTGAAGCGAATTGACGATTCGGGGCTTTTCGTCTACATATAAAATAATAAAAACATACCTTGGCAGGTTGGTTTCCACCACCTTGTTCAGGAACAAACAATGAAAGGATGGAATCAGTAGGAGACCAGCAGATATCCACAACATTATCAACCTTCATGGATTTCTTGTCTATTAGGCTGAAAGTCTCAGTCTCATAGACGGAGATAGTGTTTTTGCTAAGCTTGGCAAAGTATTTATCATCTTTTCCACCAGCCCATCTGCAGAAAGATTTTACAAGATAATCAACAAATGTGCATAATAGTGGAATAGAGGATAGATTTTGACTATTTATCTTTAAGGACATTGACAGGCAGTTGAAGAAATTACCTGAAAACAGGCCAAGAGGCACCAGCTACACCACCAGGTCCTCCAATTGAAAACTCATCAGCACTACCCTTGAAATCTCTCATCATCCTCCCAGTTCTCACATCAAAAACCTTAATCTCTACTTTCTGAAAGTTTGACAGAAATCAGAATCCTTTGCACAGAAATGATATACAAATAAAAGTTGGAAAGAACGGAATCAAAGATGCACTCACACTTGCATCCCGTGGGTTGCTTGGTTCTTGGCTGTGGTAAGTTACCAGATATTTCTCACCTGGTGAGAAATCAACTAGTTTAACCTAAAACGGAATCAACAATAGATGTCAATTTTCAGGCCAACAGAGGAATAACGGAAGTACTATACATAGAAATTAAAAGGAAAGTCAAACCATAGAATGCTGATAACGCATGAGACGCGTGAATGTATCAGCACCACCCCAAACAGCTGCCCCCTGCTTGTGAAGTGTCACAAGGTATGTACCTAAAGGAGACCACTGCACATAACTCTCTGTCCAGTACTGCATAGGAAAAGAGAACATCATTAATTCAGATGATGGTAACATAACATATACCATTGCTCTAAACAGTCAAGTAACAAATAAGGGATATACACAGGAAGATGTAAGTAACTTACAGGACGCTTATGAACAGGTTCAGGCTTCTTTTGCCTAGCATCATTCCAGTAAACTTCAGTATCAGGGCCGGAACGAATAACTAGCTGGTCCCGGGCTTTGTCATCAGTAAGCCACTTTTGTAAATTTTCCTGAAAAACAAACACCATATAAGTAACGACAACAAGCACCTTGAAAGGCTGCATGCAACAAAATTTACGCTATTAATAATTATTGGTTAGTATACATTAAATGCGTAAACAGATCCTAACTCTAATGCAGCTGCCAGACACATGAATGATTTCACTGAATCAATCAGCGAATTACCAAAATAAAGAAGTGATTGCACAGACGCAATGGAAGTTATTCAAAGAAACAATTTAAAGGTACACATACCCCAGGGACATACGGCCTGGCCTGAGGAGGCTCCCACTCCTCCCGCACATTCATTAACCTGTCGAAATCATCGAACATGTTTACAGCAAAGATGTGAGACTTGTCCAACTTGTAGCCATGAGACTTTTCCTTAGCGTTTTGTGCTTCCTACAAAGAGCCCAGACATCGAGACAAACTCTTAGAAAATACACAACCATTGAGAACAATCTAGTTCTGTCTCTTTTCTAACGAGAAATAAAGTATTGAAACATACGGGGCCTCATTATTGCTTGAACTAACTAAACAGAGATAAAGCTAATAACCTGAGGAGTATTGAACTCAATAAAACAGTAGCCCAATGTCATCTTGGTGTCGGGATCAACGGGCATCCACAGTCCATTTTCTTTGATCACACCTAACTGGTTGTAAATTTTCTTGACAACACCTTCAAGTTTCTCAAACTTCTCCTTGGGAACAACAGGGAGGTGATCAACCACGATAATGTTACCAAATCCAGTGTCGAATTCTGACTGGTCATCGTGGTAAACAGCTTCATCATCACTACAACCACCAGAAAAGAGTGTATAATGAATCAGTTCCATTGTCCATACGTTCCTAGATAATATATATAAACACAATAAGCTATTAAGCTTGGGGCACAATCAAGCTAGAGATAAACCAACATATCACTAAGATACACGAAATTTACATATATAAATAATAGCAAAAGGCCTAGAAAACAATCATCCCATCGTATAAACACAAGAAGATTATAAATAAAAGCATGCGTATTTATGAGAAACAATTTAGCATTCTCAAATTTGAAACGTAACATTGTACAAAAACCAAGCAGGAGATATGAACAACCAGAGATCTAATGAAAAATCTCACCTCTCAATCCCAAAGTCTTCTCCAGGAGGAAGTTGGATGGAATCAAAATTAACCTGAGACCAATTAATCCCTAACTTAGCCGCTCGGGCATCAATATCAACGACCTCCATGATTTCAAAACTTTAGATCAAAAATCTGCCAAAGAAGGACATAGAAGGTCTTTCACACATTCCAACTTTAAGTTGATAAACAATTACGAAAACCGAAATCATGTGAAAAAAATATGAGTCTTTAGAGCTAAAAGTAGTTTGTTGTTAACCTAAACTCAAGCATTAAAACAACAAACTACCATGGCCTAATCTTCAAAGACTGAAACTTTCAATCATAAATCCCACTGAAACGTATATAAAACCATGCCTATAGAAAGAACTTAGAACTATACTCTATATTTTTATATAATCTAGAACCCAAAAACAACAGGTGAAATGGAGAAAAATGGCAAAAATTCCCAAGGCTTTCTTCTATCTATTACATCGTTCTGGTTCCTGTCTCATAGCTATATGAACAAAATAAGAACGAACATTGAAATCGAGATAAGAAACGTACCGATAGAGAGATTAGCCGAGAGCAAAAACAAAGAAGAAGAGATTCGAAGAAGAAAAAGATTGAAGTCGGCGCTTGAGGGTGAGGAAGAAGGAGAAGCGATTGTTTCAGGTCATGGATCATACGACGTCGTTTTTCAAACCTTGTTTTTTAAACGGGCTTATATTTGTTTTGATGGGCCGAATAAGCCCAATTCAGTAGATTATATTTTCTCTAATTTTTCGTTTTTAATTTATTGTCTTTCTCTCGATTTGCAGTGTCTTTTTTTTTTTTTTTTTTTTTTTTTTTTTTTTTTTTTTTTAATAGTTAAATCTGTCTCCTTCATTTTCTTGTCCTCGAGAACCAAATACGGATAATCTCTCATCGGAGGATTGTTGCTACAACAGAGAGTTTGTTGTTGTTGGCTAGGGTTCTTATCGATTTGTAATTTGGGGAACTCCATTGATTCCGGTGATGAATGAGGTTGCTGAGATTGCTCAACAAACGGATTCGATTCAGGATCCTAAGGTAACTCCAGGTGATGATACTGTTGTTGATTCGAGCGGGGATGGTCACGAAGCCATTAATGATGATGATGATATTGCAGCTTCTTCACCTATGGAACTCGATTCAGCTGTTACAAATGACGATGACCATGCTAGGGTTTCTGAGAGTGAGAGATCGGAGAAAAATGGTGTCGTAGGGAGTGAGGAGGAAGATGATATTAGTGAAACGAAATCTGAGATTAAAAGCGAGGACGTTTTAATTGATAAGGATGATGATAGTTCTGAGCATAAAGAAGAAGAAGAAGATGGCTCCGATGATCAATCTAGTGAGCTTGGTTCTGAAGCTGATGAGAAGAATTTGGATTTGAAGGAAGAGAAAATAGGAGTTTCGGATTATAAATCTCTTTTATCTGAGTTTGATGATTATGTTGCGAGTGAGAAAATGGGTTCTGGAGTGTCGAGGGCATTGAGTTATGGGTTTGAAGTTGGAGATTTGGTTTGGGGTAAGGTAAAGTCTCATCCTTGGTGGCCTGGTCATATATTTAATGAAGCTTTTGCGTCTCCTTCTGTTCGTCGTATGAGGAGGATTGATCATGTTCTTGTTGCGTTTTTCGGGGATAGTAGTTATGGCTGGTTTGATCCTGCTGAGCTTATTCCTTTCGAACCTAATTTGGAGGAGAAATCACAGCAGACTGTTTCGAAGCATTTTGTTAGAGCTGTGGAGGAAGCCATGGATGAGGCGAGTAGAAGGTCAGCTCTTGGTTTGACTTGTAAATGTCGGAATCCTTATAACTTTAGGCCTACTAATGTGGAAGATTATTTTGCTGTTGATGTGCCCGATTACGAGCTTCAAGCCGTTTACTCTGCTGACCAGATTAAGAATTCTAGGGATAAGTTTTTACCCGTTGAAACCCTATCGTTTGTGAAGCAATTGGCGTTAGCACCTCAAGAGTGTGATCCAGACAGTTTAAAGTTTATGAAGAAGAAAGCAGTGGTTTTTTCTTTCCGCAAGGCAGTGTTCGAGGAGTTTGATGAAACCTATGCACAGGCCTTTGGAACAAAATCTGCACGCTCTTCAGTGAGTTCGCATGAATCTCATAATAGAGCACCGCCTCGAGGTATTGTCACTTTTCAGAAAATCGTGGTTTTTTCCATTTATGTGTAATCTTTACTTTGTATGTGGATTTTTTCTATGTATACCTGAAACATATATCATATCATATTTGTTACAGAGATGTGGGATACTGTAACTTTGTTTTAGGATTTGACTATTAAATCCTCTGTGCTCATGATTTTAGGATTTATATCTTTGTACTTGTATTCTTTACATTAGCATGCTTGAAAGAAGCGTGAAGTCTCATTGATTTTAAACCCTGCATTGCAAAAGGTGGCCTAATAACAATTCTGCGCCTCTTTCTATTGCGGAGAGTCCCGCATACGTTTACCTTGCTTGCTTCATTGTTTATATATTGGTGGTTGATGTGTTTTTCCAATTTCTCATGTTTCCAGCTCCCTTGAGTGGCCCCCTGGTCATAGCAGAAACGCTAGGTGACCTGAAGAGCTCTAAAAAACCCAAAAAGGTTAAGGACTCTAAAAAAAAGGACAAGTATCTTCTCAAAGGAAGGGATGAAGCTGGTGATAAGTCTGTTCAATTTGGCCAAATTGAAGCAAGTTCATTAACTTCTCATATCCAGGGAATTGATGGATCTTTGGACGGGGATTTTGTGCTGCAGAGAAGAGCTCCAATGCTTCAAACTCCAGTGAAAGATGAGCAGTCTGGGATTGTCGGCATTGATTTTGCCTCTTCAAGTGCAGCTATTCCTGGTAAAGAATGGTCAGTTCCAATGCTCTCTCTTGATGAAGAAAAGGGTTTAGCCGAAGAATCAAAGGAGAAAATGGAAGAAAGGTCTGATGTACTTCCAGAGCATGGGAAATCTGAAGCTATGGCGAGTCGTAAAGAAGAGGCTGGAACAGATCTTGGATCAGCTGAAAGCTCTCTCCAACCCCTGCTTGAGTCTCATACCTCAGCATCTGAGGGGAAAAGTTCCACAGGCTCTGTAATCAAGAAAGTCAAAGTTTCTAAACGATCTTCAAGTGAAATGGGCTCAGAGGATCCACCTTCGGAGCCAAAAAAGAAAAAGAAAAAGAAGAAAGAGCATGACTCTGACCATGCAGTGAAGAGAAAGTTTTTGTCTTCCGGGGAAGCTGGGGCCAAGAAATTGTCCCAGCTTGGTTCAATGCATTTACAGTCGTATATGGAAGTCGATGTGCCGCAGCTGTTGAGTCATTTGCAAGATCTCTCTCTTGACCCTTTCCATGGTTCATCAGTTACTTCTTTTGGAGCTGCTAGGAAATTTTTTCTCCGTTTCCGTTCACTTAATTACCAGAAAAGCTTGTCTGTATCTTCCTCTGATGCTACTGTCGAAAATGCCAGAGACACAAAACCCTCAAAACCTGTCAAGACTGTGAAGAGAACTGAAGACCCATCAAAAGCTGGAAAAAAACGTCTCTCTTCTGATCGTCAAGATGACATCCCATCAGCTAAGAAGCTGAAGAAAACTAATCAGTTGAAATCAATGACTTCTGAGAAGAAGATCAGCCGAGAAGCAAAGGATAGTATAAAACCAGTAAGAGAGCAAAGCAGTGCGGTACAAGCAAAAGCAGCCAGAGCTCAAACCGGGAAGAAAACGGCTCCATCAGTTAAGGTGGTTGAGCCCACAATGCTGGTCATGAAATTCCCACCTGGCACGTCTCTCCCTTCAGCTGCATTACTAAAGGCGAGATTTGGTCGCTTCGGGCTGTTAGATCAATCCGCCATTAGAGTTTTCTGGAAATCATCGACCTGCCGTGTTGTGTTTCTGTACAAAGCCGATGCACAGACTGCTTTTCGATATGCAACAGGAAACAACACTCTATTTGGAAATGTGAACGTAAAGTACTTTCTCCGTGATGTGGATGCTCCTAAAGCCGAGCCTCGTGAACCAGAAAACACAAAGGAAGATGATGAACCACAGAGTCAGTGGCTAGACCAAGCACCACCACTTCACCAACCAACCTTACCACCACCAAACGTCAACCTCAAATCCTGCTTGAAGAAACCAGTTGATGACCCGAGCAGTAGTAGCAACAACGGAAATGGTAACCGCGCAACTGTAAGAGTCAAATTCATGTTAGGGGGTGAAGAAAACTCGAGTAAAGCAACCACCGAGCCACCACCAGTCACAACAACCTCGAATAGAAACAGTGGACCTTCTTCATCATCATCATCTGTTGCAATGGAATTTGTTAGTAAGAAGTTTCAAAACGTTGTTCATCATCAACAGCTTCCTCCTTCTACATTGCCTCCAATTCTTCCTCTCCCTCCACAATACACAAAACCACAACAACATCCCATTAAACCAGTAGACCATGTCGAACCACCGCTGCCACCTTCAAGAAACTTCCGTGGCCCGAACCCAGCGGTTAGCGCTGGAGACATCTCTCACCAGATGCTCAACCTTTTGTCAAAATGCAACGAAGTAGTGGCTAATGTCACGGGCTTATTGGGCTACGTACCTTACCATCCCTTGTAACAAAACGAAGCCCGTTGAGAGAAAATGTGAGTGTTTGTTTGGTTTTGGTGATATATTTGTATGTTACGTATTAGTTTGGTTCGTTAATTTATAATGAATCTCTCTCCCTCTCTCCTTGTTTTATTTTTCGTGTCTTGAACTTGTATGTTTTGATATTTGATGCACTATGCCGAACCAATTCCATTGTTGTGTAAGATTATATGGTCTCATTGGTCTTAATCTACTTGGTGGTAAACTAGGCCTGCCCACATAGCTGATCAAAGTTGAAGCCAAACCCACCAAAAAAAGAAAAAAAAATTACAAGTAGAAATTTGTAATCACAGTCGGAAAACATAAAATTTTATTTTATTTACATGTTCAAAAAAGGTAATTTTTATTACCTCTCATTATGAAAAAGGTAATTTTTATTACCTCTCATTATGAATGAGATATAAGACGACGTCGTCATGTGTTGTTCACGAGAGAGAGAGAGAGAGAGAGAGGAATCAAATTTGAGTCGAACACATGACCTCATGGCGTAGAGGACTTAACCAGTACAACAACCAACTGGTCAATGTTCGATTTGGTGGAAAGATTTCCTGATGATAATATTTATCCACAAAATTCGTATGGTTTGGTTGTTGTTTTAAATCAATTAACTAAATTTAAACGCTAACTATTTTGCCATCTTTTTAATACCTTTTCACTTGAAAAACTTTTTAACATTTTTTCTTTTTCAATACACAAATAGAAACACAAACTTCGAAAAGAAAAAAAAAAACAATAGAAAATACCTACTACCAAATTCATCACTCAACACAACTCAAAGAAAAGTAGCGAGTAGCGACAAGCTTTTATATTATTTGCTACCATTAAGATGTTTTTTCTGTCCAAAGTTTAATTAACATCTTGGTGGTTATCTGTTTTACTTAGCTTCTTTATAAAGTGGTCGAGAAAGGAACTAATGAGACCAAAGTAAAGAAGATCAACTACAGCTAAAGACTATCAAGAATTTCAATACATTTGGTTGAATATCGTAAAGTTTGATTTCAAAACTCACCGAGTCGTCGTCTCACATGTCTGGATTAGCCTCCTCAGGAATGACTTCTAGTGTGACCCTTTCTTTATTTGATCTTTCCACAACTACTTGCATCCGCTTTCCGATTCTGTCGTCTATTATCTCTATTATCTGCAATTAAACTTCATTCACACACGAATACTCTAAGAAGATAAAGAGAGTGTGAGAGAGAGACGACACATGCCTCTTTGATGGTCTCGACCGGCTTCCCGTCAAATCTCACAACAACATCACCTGGTTTAAAGCCAGCTCGATCAGCTGGTGATCCCGGAATCACCTGCAAAACAATAATCATGCAACTATATATAGTAAATATGCAAAACTTGGATTATTCAGTTTTTAATTGGATCTACTTGATGGATGGATACTCACCGTAGGAACAAGAATGCCTCTTTCGACGTCAGGAAACATCGGGTCTCGTTCTTTTAGCTGAGCAATGATCATTTTATTGAGTTCGATCATTTTTAACCCAATCCATGGCCGAATAACTCTACTGCAACAATAACTATTTTTATTTAACTCCTCCCAACCTTTAAGATGTGATACATGATGAAAATATATTGAGATTACTAGCATACCCACTCTTCTTGAAATGCTCGATGATTTTGGATACCGAGTCAATTGGCACGGAAAATCCAAGACCATCTGCAGCTAAAACTTTCATGATATTAACACCAATCACTTCTCCATCCAAATTTACGAGAGGCCCACCAGAGTTTCCCTAACACATAGCACAAGGATATAAAAATCACAAGATCTGCAAGTCAATCTGTAATGACTTTCCAATTCATAGAGAAAGAAAGATGTAAGTTACCGCATTGATCGCACAATCTGTTTGGAGATATTCTCTACGTGTGCCTCCTAAACCCAAATCACTGCTTTTGCGATCAACACAGCTAGCACCAAGAAAAAGCAGAAAGCGACAACAAAAAAAATCAAACAGTTGTGACTACTATCAGAACTTATCAAATAAAATCTTATGCTTACACATGTGTTTATTTTACCTGACAATACCAGCAGTTATTGTGTTCTGGAGAGAAAGAGGACAACCCACAGCTATTACCCAGTCCCCAGGACGAAGCTTACTCGAAAAACCAAGTTTAGCAGTTGGCAATGGCGTCTTTGACTTTATCTTGACTAATGCGATGTCGGATTGTAAATCAGCGTTCACCACCACACCCTCAAACGTCCTACCATCTTGCAACGTCACATCAACCTATAATTTAACAACTCTAAACTTCACAGATGTTCTAAACAGATTCCATCAAGTTAAACCTTAGAAGAAACTAATCTTATCAGCTACAATCCCAGTTTCCCACAACTCCAATAATTATAAAACTTACTCTCCCTTTAGATGATTGACGAATGTTTTGAAAATCGACTACAACATGAGCGCAAGTCAATATCGTGCCATCAGCATCAATGATGGTTCCAGAACCGATACTTTTTCCCATAGAAATCCCATGGAAACCTAGAAAAAAAATCCCAAGATCACCAAAACCACCCCCTGTAAATTCTAAAACCAAATTCCGCAATGGTAACATAATAAATGGAATCAAAAGATAAAACAAGAAAGAAGCTAACCCTGAGGAACCGATAGATTGACAACCGCTGGTCCGACTCTAGCAGCAGCATTGGCTATAGTATCTCTCCCTAAGTAGCCATTACTTGGTTTCGAACTATCCGAAGCTTCAACGGGAACTCCCTTCTCATCATTTGTAGGTGCTTCTGATTTTGGACTAACTCTCGAAGAAAACGTGAAATTTCCTATATACATACAGAAATAGACATTTCAAAGTTGCAACTTTAGAAATGCATAAAAACAGTCAGTTAATCAGAAAATTTTGCTACCAACCGAACAAGCTTTGATCAGGACGATGAATCAAACCCGGCGAAATCTGCCAAGGCAGCAACGACAGAGATTCCCGAACAGATTCAGGAATAGCAAGCGATATTCTCGTTCCTAGAATGCATATCACATTATGATTCACAGCTATAAGATCACATTAACCACAACAACACCAAGACAAATTGCAATGCATAATGAAGAAGTTGGTTCTTGGTAATAGTAGCTTACTTGCATCTGGATTACTATTAGCATATACAATCCCAGAAGTAGCGGTAGCAACAGCGACGATACGAATAAGTTCGCTTCGTTTAGAAGATGATGATACAGCTCTTCTCTAACCCAGAAAAAAAAAAAAGCAAATGAGTCGGTGAAATTTTAACCAAATTAATCAAGAAATTGAACAGTCGCGGAGAAGAATTGAACCAGAAAATTCATCATCACAGATCCAAGATTGAAACAAATCAATTTGATTCGATAGGAAATATTCGTAATCGCGTCGTGCTTGCAATTCTAAACCCCACCGGAAACCAAAAACCCCCTATTCCAGAACCTCTCGTAGAGACACGTACAAAGAACAGAAATTTTAATGGGCCTATCAATTTAGGCCCAAATAAAGCCCAAACTAACCAAACATTTGCTTGAGTTAATTACTAATCAACTTTAATTAATGTCATTAATGGTACTGACTCTTTTCAAGTATACCGAAACCATTTCAATTATACCACATAAATCCATCTAAATTATTTAAATCAAGTACGAAATCCATAAACTAATTTAGACAGATGATGTTTACTAATCCCAGAAATTAGTTATTTTCGATTACAAATTCCGTAAAAACACATAATCATCTTCCCATGGTTTTACATAGACAAACCAAAACACAGAGAAGAAGATTTCAGAAAACCTACACAAATCCCCTAAAACCAAAAAAAAAACAAGATGTTTCTCCTTCTCCTTCTTTCTTCTAGATCCGAATATAACCAAAAGCACCATCGATATTATCATCAAGCTTTCTTAGGAGATTTGGTAGCAGGTGAAGCTTTCTCAGCAGCTGAAGATTTCTTAGGAAGAAGAACTGGATTAATGTTTGGAAGAACACCACCACTAGCAATCGTAACTCCATGAAGCAATTTCCCCAATTCTTCATCGTTCCTTATCGCTAAACAAAGATGCCTAGGGTTTATCCTGTTCTTCTTATTATCTCTCGCTGCGTTCCCAGCTAGCTCAAGTACCTAAACCAAAACCGGTTCAAATTCTTTAGATCTCCAAAATTAAACAGATCTATAGAGTGTGAATCACACAAACCCTAAATGCAACGAGATCTGAGATTGATTTACCTCAGCGGCGAGGTATTCGAGAACGGCGGCGAGGTAAACCGGAGCACCGGCACCGTATCGGATAGCGTAACGACCTTTCTTCAAGTAACGAGCGATACGACCAACGGGAAATTGAAGACCAGCTTTAACAGATTTAGTAACACTCTTCTTCCTATCTCCTCCTTTTCTTCCTCCTGCTCCTCTCGCTGGCTTCGTCGTTGCTTGTGATGACTCCATTGTTCAAAAGCTCAAAAACAAAATGGATCTAAAGGTAAGCACAATTAGTGTTTTTTGCTTTTTTCGGTTTTGTGGCGGTTTATGATTTGCGTAAAATGAGGAAGCGACGACGTGTATGTATATACCACGTATTGCCACGTTGGCGATCCGTGTAGTCATTTATTTTAACCGTTAAGATTGGATCTTGTTGGGTTTGATCTAACGGTTGTTAGTGACTTCTTTGTATTACATTACACGTGGGAGTTGTAAAAGGAAGGTGGAAAAGAACACTCGAGTGATATCAGCCGTTAGATTCATTCCCCACACGTTATATAAATGATGTCAGCTTTATCTTATCTTTTTAATTAACCCTAAAAGTTTAATTAATTTGGTTGGCCATTATTTTATTGAGTGAATTTGTGTAGAGGTAAAAATGGGGTATAAAATTGGGAAAAATGTCGTTAAAATCCCCAACTTATTCAAAACGTTGATTTAAATCCTCAACTCATGACGAAACAAAATAAATATCAAACTTATGTTGACTTTCCAAATAAATATCAAACTTATGTTGACTTTCCAAATAAATATCAAACTTCCGTTGACCTGGCCATATTAGGTACGACGTTAAGTGGATTAATAGATCTCGCTAACGGAGTTAATTTTCTGTTAACATACATGTTAATTGATAACGACATCGTTTCATATAACAACAAAACGACGTCGTTTTGTCGTAACAATTGAATTAAATCCCTAAAGTCAATCTTAGATCCCCAAATCGAGCAAAATCCCTAACCCTAAATCTTTATATGATTTGAAACTCGGGATTTTATTGAGCAGTTACGACTAGGCCTAGGCAAAAAAACCGGACCCGATACCCGAACCGATACCCCAACCGAAAAAACCGGGTTGGAGCGGGTTAGGGTATTAGGAAATTACCTCATTGGGTAGAGTTTTGGTCTACCCGTGGGTATCGGTTCGGGTCGGGGAATACCCGTTACCCATTTAGGGTACCCATAAACCCGAAGCTTTTAGACATGTGTTCATATATGTATATAGATATATAGTCATATTGTCATATAGCCCTAGCTTTTGAGTTTTGACCATTGAGTTTCCTAATTTCCTTCTAGAATCCCTATTACCTCGATAATCTCTGCTTAAAATCCTCTTTTGAGTCTCATTATCGAAACTGGAAACCCACGTCGCGACACTCTCGGCGACTTTACCGTCACCAAACATTCCGATGTCATGTGATTTTAGATTGGATTTATTCTTAACACTTAAGACTTAAGTAGTCATGTTTGTGATTTTGGATTGGATTTAGTCTTTAGATGCCATGTTTGATGTTCTATTCTCTTTATTTGATCATTTGAGCATGTACAATGATTTAAAACTTCGGGTATTGGAGTCATATTTCGGGTTTATGGGTAATTTTATCCATTTAGACCCGAATCCAATAGGGACCCAAATTTTTCGGGTTTTTTTTCGGTTCTCATGCTTATTACCCAAACCGACCCGAACCCGACGATACCCGAACCGGACCGGAACCGAATCTTTAGAAATACTCGAATGGGCCATAAATTCATTACCCATTCAACCCGAACCCGAACGGGTTACCCATATGCCCAGGCCTAGTTACGACAAAACAACGTCGTTTTATGTTTAGAAGGAATACTGTCATTTTTAATTAGCGGGTCTGTTAACAGAAAATTAATCCTGTTAACATGGTCTGTTAACTCACTTAACGTCATGCCTAATATGGCCAAGTCAATGAAAGTTTGGTGTTTATTTGGAAAGTCAACATAAGTTTAATATTTATTTGGAAAGTCAACATAAGTTTGATATTTATTTCGTTTCGTCGTGAGTTGAGGATTTAAATCAACGTTTTGAATAAGTTGGGGATTTTAATGACATTTTCCCGTATAAAATTATGAAATAGATAATATAAAGGTTTGTCTTTGACGACGTCCAAAAAACGATTGAAAAAGGGTTTAGTTTTGCCAGTTATTACAAAAAAACCAATGCATATTTTGTCAATGCTCGCGGGGGAGAGCGAGAAAAATCTGACATTTAATAAATGCTCAACAGTTGAAATGACCTTTACGCGGCATGCAACAGACAGAAATAAGTGACGATTATTAAATGCGACCGGCTTTAGTTTGAATCTATAACAAAAACGTATATGCAGAAATTACAAATTTTAAACCACTAACTTAATTGCTTAGATATCTATTAATAAATTTGGCTTTATATAGATTGATATATAACTCTATGAAAGTGTATGGACATGTAACTAAATTTATAGATAACTATTAATTCCTTAACTAATTAGGACATGTTTAACATATCGTCAATCTACGCTCTTTAGATCTGCATCTACGCTTTGTAGATCTATAAGTGGAGGTCCAAAAATTGTGGTAAATCCTTATTTGTATCGTGAAAATTGCCTCTTTCGGCAAATAGATGTACCATCTAATTCTCTGGTAAAACAGTGTGAATAGTAAACACGGCGATGTATTTCTGCTTGATTTGAATGAATTCAAACAGAATTGAGAGAGAAAAAGAGAGAGATACGAACATGAGAGAAAAATAGAGATCCAAAAATCACAAATTAAAAATGAAAACAAAGCGTCAGGCGCATGAGGTTAAAATGGGCAGAAATGGGGGCTAAAATTATCATTGGTCTTGGGATTAGATTCATAATACCTAAAATTTTATTTGATCTAGATCCAATGTCTCTCACCCAATTATCTCTATTTTATTTTGACAGTACATTTTTTTTTATTAAAAAAATTGAAAGATATTTCAACTCTATATGTTTATTTTCGATATCGGAGTAGAAAATTAGTGGATAAGAGTTGTGAACATGTTAATTCGGAAAATGAAAAATAATAATAAACCCAAACTCTAATTTTAATAGCGTAATAAGCACAAAAAAACTTGATTAAGAAAAAGAGTTTAAAATATTCAACTGTAATCTTCTAAGCTCCAAGACAAATGAAGAAGCATCATTAATGGCTGCACGAGCTGAAACCAAAGCTTCATGGAGCTCGGTGTTAACGAGATAATAAGAACATATCTCTTTGAGGATCACATCATGACGTTCTTGAAGTCTTGCTACATTCTCTTCCGCAGCGACCAAAGCCTCATTTACGAGTTTTAGCTTCTCGATGGCGCGATGTCTTCGCCTCAATATGGGATTGAAAGCAAAGAAGAAGGAGCCCGAAAGAGCAATTGTAGAAAGAAGTAATATGCTTCCATAAAGATCCATGAATGGATTAATGGGTTTGGTAAAAGAGGAGAATATATATAAAGTGGATTCATTACTTAAAGAGGGTTGAGATTATTATTCTTTGCTTCTCCATGGATGAAATTTCTTCGAAGAAGGTCCTCGTGTTCGCTTTTTTCGGGGTTTCCTTTCTCTTCGAGGCTTCCTTTCTCTTCTCTCTAACCGCTGGCGCCGGATCTCTGGATCTGCCCATCCTTTTCCCCATTCAGAGAATCCGCTGTATGTTCTGTCTTGTTTCAACGAAAGCAGCATGTCGGCTTCTGGATAAGCATAGAGTGGTTTGTCATCTTCGAAATCTAGTTGTTTCTTCCCTTTTTCTGTTTGTTGTATAAATTTAATCTCAACTCGACGATCCTGCCACACAGATCAGTAACACCGAATATGTGATTGTAGCTTTACCGATAAAAGGATCATGAAACTAAAGAAGAAAGGTTGGTTTTTTGGTTACTAGTGTACTTTACCTTGTTATCCATCTCTTTGATGTACCCCTTGGCTTCCATGATACGGGCAAGACCTTTCCACCAAAGACAATCTGTTTCCTTGAATTTTTGACACTACACTAACCAAAGGCATCACATTAATATAATCAAGAACATAATGCACTATGTAAATTGTTGAAACAGAAGATTTACCTGTTCCCTGATTTTACTGATGAAGAACAGAAGATTTGGCTTGTGGGATAATTTCTTTTGTATGCTGTTGCCGAGTCCATAATCTTCATATGGTGCATGCTCAGAGTCATTGTCTACCTGCAACTAATATACTAGCAGCTTAACTTCCAGAAAGAAAGGTTATACAGTAGTAGAAGAAATTTTAAATTTCTTTTGTTTGCTGTTGCCGAGTCAAATGGCTTACATGAAAAGCAGTTATTACTTGAAACAAAAGATTAGCTTCCTCTCGTACATTTACTAGCTCCGGGGGCCCTTCCTTGCAAACATCACATCTGCTTCACAGATTGGAAAGGCATTATGACGGTTTGCTAGTTTACCTCAATGGTTTTTAAAAAGAAGGACATGACTTACAAGTTACACTTATTGGAACTAAAATCCTCTCCAAAGTACTCCACAAGTATTTTTGCTCGACATTGTGAAGTGTTCATTCCGTATCTGCATAAGAAAAGGAGAATAAATGTAAAAATATATCTATAGAAAGAAACGGTGAAATATGTACTCGCACGTATATGACTAGTATAGAGACCTAAAACAGTCAGATAGCATCTTGTATGCTTGCTCTGTCTGTTCTTTGCTCCTACGGCTTGGCAAAAGCGTTGGTGCTCTCGATAGATCAGCATAGAGCACTGTAAATCCCAGATAATTACTCCCATCAGCCATGGTAAACAAGAGTAAATTTACACAGCCAAAAAAAAAATCATTAATCAACTCACCACACTCAGCCAATTCGCCATCTCTTCCAGCTCGACCAGCTTCTTGGTAGTATGCTTCCAAGCTCTGCAGTTTCATTATTTCAATGAGATGTAGAAGAGAGAACAACAAATTTGCATAGCACGTGATTCTCGGAGATGGAAAATTTTATATATGAAAATCTTATAAGAGCTTTGAGAGACCTGTGGCCAACCATAATGGATGATTTTCCGAACATTTTTTTTGTCAATTCCCATTCCAAACGCAATTGTGGCAACAACAACCTGCAGAGGAGTAGCATAACGTTAGTGAACTTCCAGTCTTCCACATAGTATTCGGTTAAAAAGAAGCGGGAATAGCGAAGTGGATAACAGAGTAGAACATTAAGTTTGAGCAATAACACAAACGAACATTAAGGTGTTCTATGTAGATACCTGCAGCTTATTTTCGTGGAAATCCTGGTGAACTTGTCTAAGATGTTTTTTTGGTAACTGTGAAACGTAGAAAGGTGTTAATACAACCATAACAACAATTACAAAGAACAGCATATAATTCGGAATACAAAAAATTTCCATCAGAATTTGGAAACAGAAATTTCTACAAAATTTCTACAACCAAGTTAACAAAGGTAGACAATTTGCATTCCTAAGAAACAGTGAGGGATTATAAATCAAGAAAAACCAGTACATACCGATGCATTATAAGCTGCAGCCTTCAGTCCAACCCCACAAAGATATTTAGCAATGTTGACACTCTCCTTTCTTGTAGGAACGTATATGATTGTCAGTCCTTCTAAATCCTTTTGCTTTTCGGAAGGGACAGGTATATCCATGAGTTCACAAGGAGGCATTGCGCAGAACTCACCACAAGCCACTGCAATGATTAAATCTTATCTAAATCACCATTTCTTAACACCAATAATATATTAAAACTCATAGAAAAATCCTCCAAGACTATTAATTCTGTTGTCTGCATATATTATTCACTTTGGATAAGTGAAGTTGAGCCTTTTCGCCAATTTGATTTGCACAGGAGGTGACAACTTACTTAACCAAGGTAAAAATGGTCAGTTGCCGAGTCTATTTACTTTACTAACGCTAGTTGCACTCACCAATTTTCTAATCAAAGCTTTAGATCGCTCTCGGTTTCCAAACAAAACTGAAAAGGAGCTTACCATCCCAATCATCAACACTCTGGAAAATGTCAGTTTCATCTTCCAAATACTCTTCTGACAATTCTTTCCCATTTGAACTGTTTTTCTTTGCCAGAGAGTTTTCTTGATCCTCTTCGTCCTCATCATAATCTGTCTCATGGATGTTTTGAGCATCGTGATAACCAAAATCCGTCTGCTCCTCTGACTCTCGTGAGATTACTGCTAGCTTTTTCCCGATAGATTTTTTCTTTTCAGAGTACAAGTCAATTAAGTTTTGGAAGTCCTTCGCATATGAAGATGCTAACTTGGTTCGACTATGTTTAACCTGTAAATAACAGTAAAATATCAGTTTATGTTGTACATCTCATGATCCACATATCAGCATCAAGCAGAAAATTACAGATAATCTGCCAATCTTATGCTAGTTTACAAATGCAAAAAGAGTTACTTATATGAGAAGTGAAATTAACTCTACGCTGGAAACTCACTGAAAATTGTAGACTTGGCCTGAAAAACGAAGTAAGCACAGTTTTTGTTTCCTTTGACAGGTGAAGTGACTCAAGAATATCTTCCTGTACGTGAACTGTGGCTGTAGCAGTCAATGCCATTATCGGTACATCATACTCCAAGAATTCCAAATTGCTGGCACAGAAGTTTTCCCTCAACACAGATAATCTCCTGAAGATCCGGCAGCAGGAGGTTTGTTTAAGATAACCCACAAGAACACTTCAAAGCAATAACACTTACAAGTTTGGACAGTCAAAATCATACCTGTAGTACGGACGAAAATCATGTCCCCACTTTGATACGCAATGCGCTTCATCAATTGCAAAAAGAGCAATTCCATGTGTCTTTGCAAGCTTCTGGAGTGGTTTAATCAGTCTGCGATTAAGTTTTGATCCTTCTTAAAGCAAGAACACAATAATATAAACGCAATGAAGAGAATTTCAGGAAATTGTGATGTGTAGTGTACCGAACCACTGTCTCAGGGCAAACATATATGATCTGATACATTCCCTGCATTGCCTTCTCTTCTATGCAGTTATCAAGTTGGCCTGAACCAAGAAAACAAGCAGAGACTCTGTGCCTTGATAGCTTGAGGCATTGATCATGCATCAGGCTTATCAAAGGTGAAATTACAACAACTACTTTTCCAGTTAGTAATGCAGGAATCTGGAAACAAAGAGATTTCCCTGCGTGGTGAAAACATAGAAACCACAATTAGAATGTTATTGACTTCATGTAAGAATGAATAATTCATCAGCGACGAGAAAAAGGACACTACCAGATCCCGTTGCAGCTAGAACAAGACAGTCCTTATGAGCAACCCACGTTGACAAAGCCTCTCTTTGGAAACTTCTCAGGGACGAAATACCAAACCGGTTTCGAAGTATAGAATTAACTTTTTTCTCCCACGTTGATGAAGCCTCTGAGCAATCATTTGACAAATGTGTTTCAGGATAACAACTAGACTCCAAAAACACTGGAGCAAAAGACTTTCTCAGCTCTTCTGAATGACCAGACACCGTTTCTAACTTAGAATCCACTTCTGCAATCCCAAAGGTGTCGCCTTTTTTCTTGTTCTGGTTCACAGATCTAAAATGGTCAAACAAACTAGACTGACGCTTTGAACCCGAAGAAAACGAAGGTGGCATAGCTCTTTTGCCAAGAATCTTATTACTCCCTGTAGAACATAATGAACTAGCCGGCGCAAATCCACCAGTTCTATGATGTCCCTTCAAAATATACTCCACAGCATCATCACATGACTTACCTACAGCTTTCACAGCATCCAAAGCATCCAACTTTTCAAAACCCATTTCAACAAGCTTCATCACAACATGATCAGAAGACAAATCCATCGAATTCACACTGTTGATTCGACTAAAAGACTGTCCTTTATATGGATCCTACAACAAGTTGATTCTAGTAAAGCATTATCCGGCATTGCACAGCATTTGGAGAAGTTCTAGAAACCATTAATTGATCTGAATGAAACCCAAAGAAAGGAGAAAACTGTAATGACTCGTACATAACTACTGGTTAATCCCAAATTCCAGAACTCCAAACCCTAGTGATCTTTTTTTTTTTTTTTTGAATTAGCTAAGAATGCTCCACCACTAATTTCTCGCCAAAAACACAAACCTTTTGAAGTTAATCAGTAACCTAGAACGACAATTTTTCTGGGAAAATCGCAAGCGAGAAGATACAAACGAATTGGGAATCACAAATAAGAACCCTAGGCGCCAAAATGAATCACTAAAAGGGATGGGCATTTGAACCGAACCGAACCGACCAAGCCCAAACCGACCCAAACTAAACCATGTTATATTTAAACCATTCAGTTATGTTTTGGTTCGCTTCGGTTCGGTTACCGATAATCTAAGGGTGGGCAAAAAATCTTATCCAAAAATATCGGTTTTGGGTTCCTCATACAACTTGTTCAGTTACAATTATTAAACGTACTAGAGCGAAACTCGCGCTTCGCCGCGGGGTATTTTTTTGAATTTATGCTTGTTAAGCTTTGAATATTAGTTGAATTTACATTTCAATATGAATTTTATAACTTTGTTTCATAAAAACCATTGTATATTAATATTAATTATTTTCAATAATTATTCAAAAAAAAATGTAGTCTCTATATAAATATATAAATAAATATATAAGCATCATTTTTTATAAAAAATATGTGATTTTGTTTCAAGAACTAATCGCATGTCTAACAAAGATTTCCTGAGATGACCAAAAAAAAATATAACGAAATGTGATGTTTCTTTGTCGTGAATATATAATTCAATTCTTAGTGGGTTTTCCCAAAATAAAAGAAGTTGTCATCAATTAAAGGTCTTTGACGTCTGGGTTTTTTGGGATTTGAGTGAAGTTTGTTTTCCCATTGTAGTTGTTTTTTTTTTTCTCGTTAACTGTAGTTTATTAAGCAAACTGTTACAAGTTTACAACAAAGGAAGCCCAAATACAACACTAAAAAGACAGCCCACATAACAGGGTCCACATCAATGGGTTACGAAACAAACATCAATCTTAAAGATTGAGTAATTCACCCTTGCCTTTATTGAAACTCGGAATCTAAAAACCGACGTCTCTCTCTTCTGTCTCTCTCACCGCCTCTTTCTTCTCTGCTTGGGATCTCTATCTCTCTTTCTCCATGATTAAATCTCTAAAATCAGGTAATTATTTCTTTTAGTCATCACCATAATTGGTGATTTTAATCTCCGATTGTTGATTTTTTCGTTTATATTGCTGGGAGTTTTTGGTTTTGGATTCTCTGAAAAATTAGCAAAGTCTTCGTCTTTTGTTTCCTGCTGTTTGCATAGTCCTCATTGAAGCTTTGTCTCCCAATCTTAATGTTCTAAAGGTTAGAGTTTTGTTCTTTTTTTTGGTTAATTTTGCATTAGACCATTGTTCTGATTGTAGTTAGGCATGGTGGGTTAGTTTCTTGTTTTTGTTTATGTAATAAAGTTTTGATCTTTTTTGTTTGGTGTTTGAAGGATTGTTATTGTTTTTGATATCTGCAGCTGAAGTTTAAGTCTTTTTTTTCTATTTAATGAAAATGATCTTGGCTTAACCCTGTTACCAACAACGACGTGAATGAAAGTTGGGAGAGTTGTGAAAACAATCTTGCTCCTAGCAGTGTTCAAGAACATCAAATCGAAGGTGCATTTTTGCTTCATCCTGATATAATATCGACTCTTGTTTTTTTTCCTGGAGTTTAAGTATGGTTGTGGTCCACATTCCGCAGGTGATTGGTTTAAGGAATTCATACAACACCGTTAAGGCAGTTGTGAAGGCCTTGAATGCAGTGAGTGGTGACAAAAATTCAATAAAAGGGGATTGTAGTTAAAACCTTATGATCTGAACCAATCTCATTTCCTCTTTGTCAGGTCGAAACCCCAAAGGATGTTCAAGAGAAGTTTGGCCGGACAGTTGTTTAGAAATATCTCCTGTAAAAGCTGGTGCGTTCATGGCTTTGGTATGTAGTGTTGAGTTTTGGATTAAATCCTATGTTTGGTTTTAGATTAGTAGTGTGTTTCTTACATCACAGCTGAATTCATCGTTTACGGTCTTGGTGAAAAATAAAGTAGTTAAGAATACAATTTTCCCTTCGCCAATTTTACTTAGTTTTGCTTCAGTTTGAGAATGCACAATGTAATCTTCCGAGAATATGGTTTCTTTAAGGGACAATTTCTTGAGCCTAATCGAGGTGAGGCAATACCGAAAGTATGATATGCTCCTCACAGAAATTAAGGTTGATGACGAGTGCGTTGTTGGAGATTTTGATCACGTATGTGATGGTTGTTTCATCTACAAAGAAATTTTCCGTTTCTTAGACTATATGCACTATGTTTAAGTGAAGTTTGTTTTATTTTGTTTTAGCCACATATTCATTTCCTTCTGAAACACATTATGTAACACAGCTTATTCACAATTGAGATTTGTGTTGAAACTTATTAATTTTTAAATTCATGCTTTTTGTTAATTTTAAAATAGTTTCTGTTTTAGTCTAGAATAGAAGCAAAATCAGAAATAACCATATTAAGTGTCAAAGATGATTCAAACAAGCCAAAAGATAAAAGAGACAGTACAAAACAAACAAGAGAAACATCTTACGTTCTGCAGAGCCAAAAACAAATACTGTCTTCCCATAGAGCACTCCTCCTTCCTCCAATGCTTCCTGAAACATAAACACAAGAATCTCTCGTAAACACCAAAAAACCTGTAGACTCAACAATAGACAACAAACAAATGGAGAATGTAGAAACATAAACAAACAACTTGCTTGGAGATTTTTGAAATATCAATTGTATTCATTCCCACTGCCATCACAATTTAACAAACCATAAGGAAAGCATATATCAATGGAGACCATAACTTCGATGTTGAAACCAAATTAATTCCTCAAATCAATACCAGTGTTCAGCTTTAAATATCAACTTGGAATTAGCATAAAGTCACTTCTCTTATACTTTTTGAATATCTTCTCTTAACACAGGCTCAAAATTTTCCAAAGGCGTATGCAGCAAGAATCATCAATAGACAATGTATGTACCAGTTAGTTGTTGCATATCTGCAATGTAAGAAGAATGATAAAGAAAAAAGAAGAGAGTCTACCCTGGTTTTATCTCGTATTACAAACATCATTGTTGTTTTACGTGGACTAAACAATCGCATCATAACCTGCCAAACACAACTCCAAAGTTTCAAACTTAAAGGTAAACAAATATTTTTGTGATACTCATAAAGAGTTTTTAACTTTGCAAGCATCATAAAATTTTAACTGAAAGACAGTTTTCAAGAGAGGTTTATTAGTAGCTTGTTCACGGCCAATATCATGACACCACCTAAAAGTACAAGCATTGAGAATTTGTAAAGAAATACATTCCTTCAACAAAGCCGAAAATGATGATTTTATCAGATTAAAAGCAGGAATAATCAGTGGATGATGATTTAAGTACACGGTTGATGAAATCGTTGTACTTGAGTAAGGGGCTGGAGGATCATCGAGCAAGCGTCTGTTAACTATCTGAAAGAGAATACCAAAACATCGAACCGATAAGGAGGCTAAACTATTCCTCTAGGAGCATCTGCGACAAGAAGAAAAGTTGATTTACTGAATTACTCCTGGACCAAGCATTCCGCGAAGAGAAAGCATGAACTCGCCAACCCGATGATCGTGTATCCGAATCATAACTATAATTGGGTTGATTTGGGACAGAAGTATAGCCATATCTGATAGCTTTGTCTTTAGGTTTCCCAATCGATTAATTGATTGAAGAGGAGATTGAAACTGAAGCTGTGAGAAAATTGGGCTGCAAAGAGAATTGGGCTGGAAAGATTAAAGGGTGGAAAAATGGTTTTTAGTTTTTTTTTGTCAACTAAGTGGGTTATTAAATGGGCTTTTACTTTAGATGGACCTAATCTTGAAAAATAGTGAGGTGGAAAAATAGAGTGATATAATTGGAAGACAAACATGAGCTGTATTATTTAGAATGTTTTCATTGGTCTTTAATTTTAGAGAAAAAAAACTAGTTTGACCTAGAAATAAGGTTTAATTACTAAAATAACTCATAAAATGTATTAGTTAATCTAGTTATTTTCCAGACCAAAATACCCTTTGTCTCTTTGTTAGGAAAAAAAAATAAAGTCAATAATATCTTTTGATTTTTTGGAAACATGGGTGAAATTTTTTCGAAAAAACAAATTTGCCGTTAAAAGTCTGTGGGCGTCGTTGTGACAGATTTATTTTCTCTGACAGACTTAATAGTCTACGACAGATTTTGTGCGGCAGGTTTTTTTCTCCCACAGACTTATTTGAATATGGTTACGACAGATATTTAATTTCTAGCAGATTTTTTTTTCTTTGCCAGACTTATTATGATGACGCCTCAGACTTTCGTAATTTTAACAGTTTTATTATAATATGTAGCAGATTTTTGTTTCTAGTGGCGGCAGACTTATAATTTTTGGAAAAAACCTGTCACAATACAGCAGATTTGTTAATAAAAAAGAATTACTAGTTTGACTTTTAGTGCTCACAGATTTGTTTTACGTTATGACTGATTTTTTAGTGTTAACAAAAATCTGGAATGTTATAGCAGATTTGTTTAAAAAAAAAAAATTACTAGAATGACATATAGTCGCAACCGATATGTTTAACGTTATGACAGATTTTTTTTTATGTTATGCCAGATTTATGTTTAATTTACAAAAATCTGGTGTTTCATAGCAGATTTCTTGAATTAAAAATAAATTACTGGAATGACATAATTAGTGACAACAGATTTTTTCATGTTTTGACAGATTTTTATTTTATCATGATAGATTTATTGGATTTTATCACGACAAGATTATGTTTGGCAATTTTAAAAAAAATCTGCAAAATCAGGATACGGCAGACTTTATTTTAATGTAACAGACTTGTTAAAATTAACTGCCATATTTGATTTTTAATTAAAAAAAAAAAACGAATTTGAATTTTTTTTTAAAGGAAATGGCATAATTAAAGGTTAAATAGTCTTTTTACATAAAATTTGGGTTAGTCTAGTTATCCATTTGGATTGAGAGTCATTCTAGTTATTTTTTCTAAGTTTTGAGTCAAACTGGGTAAATTTTACTTAATTTTAACTGAGGTGTCAGCTTTAGAAAGCTTAAAAAATCTGATGTGTCAAGCTCTGGAGAGTTTCAAGGGGTTTTATTGTATTGATTTCGGTTACGGTTTAAAAAAGTAAAACCGAACTGTTTTCTTTTTGAGTTTGAAATTGTTTATTATAACTAGAATTTAACCCCGGTATACCGCGGGGCTATATTTTTTAAAAAATGTAATGTTATTTTTTTAAAGATTAACTGAAGATATATCATATTAATTTATATTTTTAAATATAGATATCTATCTATCAATTTTTGAAATATAAATACGAAAACATACATTTTTTTTAAGTAACGATGTATGGTGGATTTTAAAATTTTGAATATTTTACTTTGCAGTATACCGTGGGTCGGTTTTTTTATAACTAAAAATTTTAAATTTAAGTTGGATTTGTTTTGTTAATATTGTTTCTTTTGTTTTGTGTTTAAGATTGTATAATTATATTTTGATTGTTAATTTTAGGATTTCATCCGTGATATACCGTTATTTATTAATATCGACCCAAACCCGTCATCCCATATAAACCCCTAGGCCTGGGCGTTCGGATATTCGGGTCGGATTCGGGTCGGGTTTTTCGGGGTTCGGGTTTTTCGGGTTTAGAAAACTAAGACCCGTTCGGGTATTTTAAAACTTCGGGTTCGGATCGGATTCGGGTCGGGTATTTTGGGTTCGGATTCGGGTTTACCCGAAGTATCCAATATTAAAATTTTTGTATCCGATTCTATGCAAAGTATTGAATCATACTCAAAAAATCTATAAAACCCAAGTATTGTTTAGCCGAATTTAGCCAAAAGTAGCTAAAACACCCGAAAATATCATAACATCCGAATAATTTAGGCACTTAGTTACTACAAGTATAAATATTATTAATATATTATAATTATGTACTTATATTTCGGGTATGTTCGGGTACTTGTTCGGGTTCGGGTTCGGATAGGGTTCGGGTTCGGATTTTCGGGTTGTGAAGTTTAAAACCTGTTCGGGTATTTTAAAACTTCGGATTCGGGTTCGGGCCGGGTTTTTTGGGTCGGGTTCGGTTCGGTTCTTCGGATTCGGGTATTATGCCCAGGCCTATAAACCCGTCTATATTATCTCGTTAGCTAAATTATTATTGTTATAAAATCTAATAATTTTAGGATCTCACCCGTGGTATACCGTTCTTTGAACGATTTTAAATTTATACTACTAATATATATTTTAAATTTATCATATAAAGTATATGATTTCAAGGTTTTGTGTTTTTTTTTTTATTTAAATAAAGCAACGGCTTAAATGATGATAGATATAGTTCTTTTTCATGTATGTGTATATGATTTTCTATGTGAATATTTTGATTATTATAAATTAATATTTTTATTGCTATTTGCTATAAATATTTTTTGAAGATATATGGAAAGATTGTGTAGAGATTTTTAGAAACAAATTAGGCAAGATATTTTTTTTTTTGGTGAGTATTAGGCAAGATATTGTTTGGTTAATATCTTTTATTTAAATTTTGTAAAAATAACAATAAGTGCCAATGGCATGGACTCGTAAATAAGGGGAAACTCCAGGATTTATTTCATAAATGTCTCCAAAAATGTATATATAGATACCATTTGTTTGGTTATCGTTTAATTATTCTTACAAAAAAAATTGTGGTATATAAGCTACATGAACAAATCTTCTCAATTGAATGTTAATGTTATTTTCTGAGAAACTTTATTAATACGTGTTTGGAAAATAAAACTTTCTAAAATATTATATTGTTCATGATAATATCATGTTGGACATTTAATTGATAAATATGTTGGAATGTACTCACGGTTTCACATAATCCAAATAAAAAATATACCGTTCAAAATAAAGTCATGTATAACAAAAATATTTAGAAACTTACACTTCAGCTCTCTATAATCATAAAGCTAAAACAAGGAAAACAACTCCTCTAGTAATTGTTCTAGCTACA